TCAAAGGACTTCTTCAAGAAAAACTATTCAAGTGGCATTTTTAGCCTTTACATAAAAGAAGGGGGAGCACTTTCCCATTAACATTGGTATGAGATAGTGGTACTGCAGTCAAACCACTATTTTTTGTTATTCTCAGAACTGTAATAAACCCAAACAGAATGCAAAGCAAACAAGGTCCGTTGCTCTGCATTAATAATCACGAAATGTGTGGCGCTTACAATTATCCTAATTACTTTTAAGCGGATACTGGTAAGCATGAAAACGGATTATGGGAGAACAAAGAGTGCAGTTTGAGATCTGGTGTTTAAAAGAAATGAGAAGTGCTGTAAAAGCAATTACCCTATATATTGTTAGGATTAAACTTACAAAATACAACCCACATTCTTGCAGTCAAATTAGGTAGGGGCAGCAACATCAAGAACGCATGGATATCAACAGCGCTGTTGACTTGGTGAACAATTAAGCGGACTTGTACACCACTGACCATTTGGGGCAAACATTATGCAGTATACGCCATATAATTTTTTTAATGTAATACATTCCAGTCATTCCCAATCCAACAAATGACTGAGGCCTCCTACACCATGTTGGTAATTGTGATGTTAAAAAAATACTTCACCTATGCTGGTCAGTGCGGGGATTGGTTAAGTTGAAGGCAGTGGTGGTTCTGATATCACTTGCCACTGATGTTAGCCTTGGCCAGGAACCAAACTCGCGTTGGCAGATTCATGATCACAGCGCCCTAACCACTCACCCACTGTACGAGGCATTATCCAAATTCAGTCATTTAACATGTGGCGGAGGAGGAGGCGGGATGGGGGAAGTGTAAACGTCGAAGTAAAGCCTCCACATGTTTGTTTGAAAACACAATACCCGAATATGCAGCTGCACGTGTGAACAGCTGAGTAATCAATAGACACGCACAGGCGGAATGGCTCACACGGTAGCTCATCGTGAAGGTTGTTACATCAACACGTCCAATAACACTGTGCCACGTCAAGATAAAAAACAAATAACAGACAGTGTGGTTTCACGTGACGTTTTCGATATGAATGGCAGTCTCTTAACGCTACCCACAGCGTAAACAGTTTAAATAATAAGTAGATACGGTATGAGGTTATGTGATGAACGGATATCAAATATCTTTTTAAAGTGACATCCATTATCCAGAGCAGTCCTTTTTATCTAACCACAAGTGGGAAATGCATTTGGATATCCACCACTGTAGTCTAGCTTGGTATTCTTGGTATTCTTCATCAATGTCATGTTCTTAACCAAACGCCCAATGTGACAGTACGGAAATTAAGCAATTTAGTTTGTAGAGTGTCGTTGTAAAGAGAGTCTTTAAGTCGCTTCACGCCCGATGACTTTCATCAGAGTACTGTCCTGAAACGGACCTTCGTTCAGCCGTGTATTGCTGAATGCTGCATCGTAACAGGTTAACATATGGCACCATAAAGGCGTAAGACTTTACATACCACGGCGTGTATATTATACAACAGTTTTTAAAAAGCAACAACAACAGCCCAACAAAAACGAGCATTTGCAATCCACAGCACTGTGTTGTTGTGAAAAGATGCTCGCAAATGCCGTCCGCACATGTTCACCGGCCAACAACAACAACAACCCCAACTCCTTAACGCCCTTCAACTCAACAATACATTCGCGACATCAACACAAACACACCCGCACAAATCGACACCGGCCACGCCTGGCATACACAAACTTAAGTCAATTGAAACGTCGTCCCGAGGTTCTCCGTGATGTGAGCCCGGCCACCCCCCCCACCACCCAGCCTCCCTTTGCCGCCTCCCCTCGCTCCCAACCCGGCCGCCGCATCTATCCGAGCACGGTGAAGGCCTCGCAGGCCCGAGGGGGACGCTCCACCGTCTCACCTGCCCCTTGACGACGGGGTCCGCCAGGATTTCGATGCCATACTTCATCTCGTTGAGCTCGTCGATGTTGAGCACGCCGAGCGAGGCGAGGCACGGGTGCAGGGCGATGAAGATGAGGAAGAAGACCAAGTTGGTGCAGGCGACCATGGCGAGCGGTGGGCACGCGGGCATGGCTCTCCGGGGGTAGATCTTCAGGGGGTCTCGGTGTGTCGGGGACCCCCCCCAAGGAGACGGAGTTCACCGGCACGAGGAGGAGCCGCGTACAGAGACGACGGCACGGGGAGGAGCTGAACCCTCCCGGGTGTCAGCAGGCGACGGGGTCCACGTGGACCGACAATGTCAAGGTCCGTGGCTTCAGAGCGGAGTTGGGACCCGTGTGGGGTCTGCGGCCAGGGATGTCGGCCTCTGTGGTCTCGGGGTGCTGTGGCTGCTGTGCTCCGCTGTCCCTGTCGGCGACGGGGTCCCTTGCCTGGGCTACGGGGCGGAGTCGCTGCCCCCCCCTCACCCCCTCCTCCCCCCCCTCACCCCCTCCTCCCCCCCCTCACCCCCTCCTCACCCCCTCCTCCCCCCCCCTCACCCCCTCCTCCCCCCCCTCACCCCCTCCTCCCCCCCCTCACCCCCTCCTCCCCCCCCTCACCCCCTCCTCCCCCCCTTCACCCCCTCCTCCCCCCCCTCACCCCCTCCTCCCCCCCCTCACCCCCTCCTCCCCCCCCTCACCCCCTCCTCCCCCCCCTCACCCCCTCCTCCCCCCCCTCACCCCCTCCTCCCCCCCCTCACCCCCTCCTCCCCCCCCCTCACCCCCCCCACCCCCTCCCCCCCTCCCCCCCCTCACCCCCTCCCCCCCCTCACCCCCTCCCCCCCTCACCCCCTCCCCCCCCTCACCCCCTCCTCCCCCTCACCCCCTCCTCCCCCCCCTCACCCCCTCCTCCCCCCCTCACCCCCTCCTCCCCCCCCTCACCCCCTCCTCCCCCCCCTCACCCCCTCCTCCCCCCCTCACCCCCTCCTCCCCCCCTCACCCCCTCCTCCCCCCCCTCACCCCCTCCTCCCCCCCCTCACCCCCTCCTCCCCCCCCTCACCCCCTCCTCCCCCCCCTCACCCCCTCCTCCCCCTCACCCCCTCCTCCCCCTCACCCCCTCCTCCCCCCCCTCACCCCCTCCTCCCCCCCCTCACCCCCTCCTCCCCCCCCTCACCCCCTCTCACCCCCTCCTCCCCCCCCTCACCCCCTCCTCCCCCCCCTCACCCCCTCCTCCCCCCCCTCACCCCCTCCTCCCCCCCCTCACCCCCTCCTCCCCCCCCTCACCCCCTCCTCCCCCCCCTCACCCCCTCCTCCCCCCCCTCACCCCCTCCTCCCCCCCCTCACCCCCCTCACCCCCTCCTCCCCCCCCTCACCCCCTCCTCCCCCCCCTCACCCCCTCCTCCCCCCCCTCACCCCCTCCTCCCCCCCCTCACCCCCTCCTCCCCCCCCCTCACCCCCTCCTCCCCCCCCTCACCCCCTCCCCCCCCTCACCCTCACCCCCTCCTCACCCCCCTCACCCCCTCCTCCCCCCCCTCACCCCCTTCTCCCCCCCCCTCACCCCCTTCTCCCCCCCTTCTCCCCCCCCTCACCCACCCCTCACCTCCTCCCCCCTCCCCCCTCTGCCTGCCTCACCCCCCTCCTCACCCCCCTCCTCACTCTTCTTGCTCAAGTCCACCACGATTGGTGATCAACACTCGCCGCCTCTTGGCGACTGCCCACGGATGCCGTCTCCGCCCAGTGTCTTCTAAGCCGCCACGGGGGTGGGGAAGCTTTTTTTCTGCCAAGGGCAATTTGGATATTTATATAACATCATGCCCGGGCCATACACAATTATCAACTTACAAATTCGCCTGTTGTTATATTTGGTCAAACGTTTCATTAACTCGCCCCTAATGTGATGGCTGGAACTGCTTCTCTTTGAGTGAGGCGTGTGATGTTAGCTGATATTGATGATGTTGCTACTCCATTGGAACCTCATTTGCCAGTAGCAAAATATGATAATTGTTTTTTTTACCCTTTTATCTGGCAACAAAACCGACACTTTTTTTTACAAGGAGTCATGTTTGCATTGACCACAATACCTGCAGGCGGAATGCAAACAAAAAACATAACTCTGATGATGTATGCACTGTCCTTGAAATTGATTGGTCCACACCCGGTGATTTCGAAAAGTTTTTTGGTTTGGCCATGTTTGTTTGTTGTAGTACGGAGTAAGACTGATGGCCTTAATCTAAGTTGTCTTGTGGTTGTTGTTTGACTTGCATCCCACTGGGATTTTTGCACAGTGCTGTCTTTTCTTGGATTTTGTTTGCACTTAGTCACATATTCACTTTAAGATGTTTTCTTGTTCATGTTTTTGTTTGTTGCGGTTGCACCCGATTCAAGAGCCGAATGGCTCACAGGGCTATACCTAATACATTAACTTGAAAGCTTTCCCAGCTGCTTCACGAGGAAAGTTGCCGAACGAACCTCAAAAGGTCACCACCAGATGGCAACAGCTGCAGTGAAAGTCGATAGATTGTCACGTGTCATTGACATAATTGACGCTTGGTAAAACACAAGTCCCTAGATCTCACGTTTGGCATGATTGTTGAACAGCTTTATCTTACAATGGTTGTTTCTAGTCTTGTCTTCGTTCTCACCTGTAATGTCCTCGAGTGTTTTGCCCGCTTCCACCAGAATCTCACCTCTCTCTCTCCTGATGTTCAGGGACCTCTTGAATACAACTCAGAGATATGCCCCCACAACTTACTTAATAATAACAGCGCTTAACTTACAATGCTTTGACTGGAAGACCATGACAACCAAATCATTTACATCCCTTTGTCCGCTGCTGGATGAAGACCACCCCATATGCATTAACATGGGGGTAGTTTGACCATACATGTATACTTGACCATGCTGGTCAGTGTGGGTTTTTGCAGAAAAAGCCCGGGTCCGGTTCAGATATCACTTTTCACCCTTCACAGACGAATGCGAAGCATGTTCAGTCATCGTGACCCAACATGGTGTGGGGGGAGGCCTTCATCAACCAGCAGTGGCTTGAGAAAGGGTTGTAATTTGTGAATCAATGTTGACCAAGAAGCTAGTTTCACTTATATACAGTTTATTGTCCAAAATACAAAAATATTTTGTAATGTTTAGAACGCATAATTCTACGGGTATGTTGACAAGCACTATATACATATGGCATGTCATGATGAAATATCTACAAACCAGGCTATACATAATCCCGAGGTCTCGTACGGACATCTAAAAATTATCCGTGCACGTGTATAAACGTGTACGTGTATATACAGTATTAATAGAGAATAACCATGGTAAGAGGTTATCCTGGCTAATACCAGTGGTACCGCCGAATATCCAACACCTGTCTTGTGTGTGAGATGGGCATCATCACGAGATGTCTGCAAGTCGTGGATGGCCTTCCCACAATCCGTGCTTGTCGACTTCCTTCCCCTGCGCAAGTCCAGGCACAAGAGCTTCCTTTTTGCACCTCTTCCAATGACTAAACCCATGGTCAAATAACCCTCAACACTGAAAGGCTTTGGGAGGCCATCATCCAACAGTGGACAGATAAGGGACTGCAGATCGACTGCCTGCACCTTTATAAATTAAACTCCACTGTTTCTATCGTGTTTTGAGAAGCAGTGGCATTTAGATGCTTTCTCATTCTAAACTGTATTTGTTGGGTTTTGGGCCTTCTAATGTCGTACAAATACCAGAGGCAAGATGAGCCTCCAGTGGGCATTGGCATCGTCTACAACAGGGTAGTGGAGCCCTGGGAAATGAAGGCATCTTGAGCTGCAAACACATGTAGGCACTATACAACTCCAAATGCTGTATGGCTACAGCTCAATACTCTACCCGCCACCAAGCAGAATATTATGTGAGGAAACAAATATATTACAAGTATCGAGTACAGAACAGTGCCGGATTATGCTAGTGGCAAAAGTAGCATATGCTACGGGCTCCGCACTTTCAAAGCATTTAGCCCCACGCTAAATGCTTTCAAGCTATCAATTCCTGTTCAGTGATTCTGCACTTGCTCTATTACTACAGCACTATACTGTCTTCAACTTTTATGAACGGCTGGGTTTTTAAGGTAATAGATTTGTCGTATTATCTGGCTGTATAGCAAATGGAAAAATACAATTACTTTACTATGCAAGTAAAAAAATCGTGTTTAAATGTTTATTTATTTATTTAGGGCCCCTTTATAACATATCATACAGGCCCCGCAGTAGCTTAATCTGGCACTGGTACAGAAGGCTGAATTTGTAGGCGTGCGCAGAGGGCTGGATTGTCATTTTTACAAAAGAGCCCATTACTGATGGAAGAAACAAAGTTTTTGCAAAACACTGGATGAAAATAAGCATTCAACAGCACGTGAATCGGATCTTTGGTGTGCAATTACTCACCGTGTTCATTGTGTAGATTTATGTATTCACATATGTGATACTGTAAATACAGCATATACCCGTGTGCACACGTACCAACGGACGAGCATATACACAGCTTCTCTACACTAGACACGCATAGCAATAAATACATACCTATGTATATTACAGCCCTCGGGCATTTTAAATCTTCTAAATAAAGGCCAGCAGGTTGGGCTGATTATGGCATTGGCTCGTTAGGCACAACTGGGTAGGGGTGGAATGGGAGGGTAGACACAAAACCAAATCGCCGGTGTGGAGAGCAGTGTTGACACAATCCTGCCAGTCGATCTCCTCGTCACCGTCCCTCCTCCGTCTCGTCACTCTCCTGCTCGTCCTCGCCATCCTTCTTGTCCTATTTCGTACGGAGCGAAGAGCTTTTCTTTGATGTAGCGGACCCAGGCGGCCCGGCTCGACAGCTCCATGGAGTTGAGCTCGAAGTGAGGGATCTTGAGAGAAGAGAGATGGGATTTATTTATATTTGAGAAATTGATCAAATCGGGCCTGAATTGAAAATGAATCCAGTGCAACAATTTAAGAACTGTCAATGCGGGAAATGTGGTCACCTGCACGACACGGTAACCAAGGATCTCCAAGTGCCGCATTTTTGCGACGACAGGCCCCTTGAGCCGGCGCTCGCCCTTACAGAAGGCACGGCCGTCCAGAAACTGCACGGCGATCCTGCCACCACGGTCAGATAACGTACGGATCAGAGACATGGTGACAAGAAAAATGCATCAAACACTGAAAATAAGCATGGAGAGATGTAAGCCTGGAATTGCATTGCGATACAGCAGCGCATGGATTAGAGAACGTACGCAATTTAGCAGACATTGGTTAAGAAAATTGGCTTGGTTGGGAAATGTTGCAAGGAGGAATGATGGCAGTTGGGCGACACAAACGATGAAGTGGTAGCCAAAGAAGGAAACACACCTGAGAGACATCCACCGAGAAGGTAGAGCGATGAAATGAGCTTGTGTGGAGGTGCTAAGTTGGATTGTTACAACCACAGGACCATTATAGATGGTGACAGATTAGGGAGGCCTACATCTAGCAGCAGATCATCGCTGATGATATAATGGGTTCACGTAACCCCTCTAGCCACTAGAGGCCGCTATATTCACCACAACGTGTGGTGAATGTTGCTGCCTTTAGTCCGCAACACCCCCACCTCCCGGTTTTATCTTAGCACTCACCTCTGTGCTCCAGGGGGCAGTTCCCTCCGCCCCGTGACCCCAGCATCTCCAGACGCCCATGGACCCAGTGTGGCCTCGGGCCCCAGCATGAAGCCGCGTTCCACGTACGGCACCGGCCGCCCTTGCTTGTCTAAGATGCACTCAAAGTCTGTGACACAAGTTAGTGTCAGAGTTAGCATGGGTTTGTGGTTGTGCCAACATGGGTTTGTGTCAATTCTGTGGTCTGTGCTACTTACTAATTCTTCCTGCAGAGCAGACCACCTACAAACAAATCACTCTGAATGCACCCGATCTCACTGTATCCCAGAAGCTAAGCAGATATGAGCCTGGTGAGTGACCACCAACACTCGCTGTAAGAGGTTGTGAGGTGTGGCCAGAAGATGGCAGTGCTGAGTGTCACCCCTTCATATGCGCGATGGGATTTCTCCATAACCTTGTTTTCTCCGGCATGAGGCAGTGTAATAATTGTCTTCATGCTTGTCAAGGCTTTACTGGATAAATAATTGATATCAGATGCAGTATGCATGTACCTGTGTGTATGTACTGATTACTTTTTGAATGACGGGCAGACCTGTACACATACAAATGTACACATACGTGGAAATGCATTAATGATCTCATGTGCTTCTTCAAAGGCCCAGTTCAAAATGTCATTAAACCTGTTCCAGTGAACACCCTGTTATCGGGAACTTTCTACCAGGTCCGCAAGTGGTTCATTATAATGAAGTAATCCTATTGCCTTTTGGGTTGTGTTTTCTTTCAAATCTAGACTCTGCTATTCCACGGAATGACTCCAACGAACGTGGCCGGGAGCTCGCCATTGCGACGCTCACGACGAGGAGGCTGCACGCACCGACGACGTGGTAGTACGGCGTAATGGCAGAGAGCTTGGCAAAGCTGATGCCACCCAGCACCTCACACAGGATGCTGTAGATCTGACGTTTCACTGGGTACGTGGAGCTGCGCTCTGCGGGGGAGGGGAACACAGGAACAGGATAAGTTCAGGGTTAGGGAGTTCGGGCAGGGTTAGGGCAGGGATAGGGCAGGGTTAGGGGTCAAGGCAAGGTTAGGGATAAGGGCAGCATTAGGGTTGAAGGCAGGGTCGTGACCGCTACTATGAACCACTTTTATCACTGCCATTTCATAAGAGGGAGACGATGATGAAAACATATGTGGTTCTTATTAGTGTATGTACTTTGTATGTGTGTTCGGCTCAGAACATTTTGTACCACCCTCAAATGTTAACAGACTACTCAATAAGCAGACAGTGGTGGTCAGGGCTTAAATTTTCACTGAATATTTTCCAGGTCCCTGATAGACTGAAGAAGACATGTACCTAGTATACACAGCCACAGTGAGTTACACTGGATGTAGTTTGCAGGTTGCTGACATATTTTTCAGGCCATTGACCCAGACAGACCCGGCTGAAATTAAACCCTGCTGATGGTGATGCGGTAGAAATGGAAGGCACTGGGGGTGAGGGAGACAACAAGAATGTGAGTGTCGGAGAACAAACGATTTTAAAGTGGGCGGTTCTTGGCGATACCTTTTGTAAGCGACTGCTGGCAGTGGCGCTCATGGAACCAGGGCACCCGGAACTCCGGCGCCTCGAGGCACACGTTGCGATTCAGCTCCATGAGTCGGTCCTGCAGGGTGAGCTGCAGATTCTCCGGCACCACTGGCCGTGCCGGGACGGGGGCCGTGGTTTGTCGGGGTTTTTGGGAGGTGGGGGTGAATGCAGACATGACACCATAAGCGACAGGTAAAGGAACGGCGAGGCACAGCCCAAGAAGAAACTCTTGTTGAAACAAGCCTAGCCTGTGCATCACAGATTGCCCGATGCCAGTTTGATGCTCCATTAAACACAAGACTTAGAAAATCATTATCTCATCAGATATTATCAATTCAGTGCTGAATGCAAACCTCCCCAAGCCATCACCATCTCTCATGGTCGTGTGATGCAACAATACATCTCGCACCTACAGGGCCGTCAAAGAGGGAAACATTTTCTCTGGAGTGTGTTCCCTCTTTCGGCTGCCACTCCATTGTTAGTCATGACCACCGGCCATCATCCATTCTAGCGACGCATCGTGCCCCAGCCCTATTCATGACTGTCAAACATGTACCATTAGGTTGTTTTAATATCACTGTGGCTTCAGTCTCACATGTCATTTGATAATTACCTATGTCTATACCTTAGCATATCATCGGGATATGATCTTTAAATAATCTGCGTAAACCATCACGAATGTATACTAAGCTTGATCAGTCGATGTATCATAGCACGCAGAGTCCCGACAAGATAACATCTTTACAGTGTTTTTATCTAGACTGCGTCTTCCGTTGAGCTTGAGCACCATCGAAAAATCGTTGTTTGGCGTACAAACAAAATCCCAAAAAGAAACGTGCACAACTCCTCACACTCCATGTGGCGGTCGAGGCGCGTGAGGAAGGGCAGGGAGAAGATGGTGCGCGTGAGCGACTCAGGGTAGATGTTCAGCAGCGACAGGACGTACCCCAGCAGCAGCAGGTGGAACGTGCTGCGCTGATCTGTTGGCACACGCACGCAGATCGCCACGTGTTCGACAAGCAGCAGCAGCAAGTCACGTGTGTCAATTCACCTGAGCTGGGAGCAGTGGCAAAGAGTACCTGTCTACGCCCGAGAAGCAGCACTTTGGAGGCAAGGAATGGTGAATTCTGTATAGAATTGTGAGATTCCCAAACTTTTACACACAGACAAAATGTCATGTCTGTGCATGTAAGTATTGAGTTCAAATGAATAATCTTCAGTTACATTTTTTTTTATAGTATGCAGCAATAAATCCTCTTTTATTCCTGGGCTGGGCTGAGTTCAAGTAAATCCTTAAGGCTGGAACAATTCACCATTCCGGCGATGCTAATAATTTTCAATAATCGGTATCACAATTCGATTCAAGGAACATTCTGTATTTATCTATTTAAACAATGCCGTCAATGGCAGCACCTCAAGTGGCTGCAGGGGTAACGCCAACCCATTACAAAACATGGATAATAAACTTTGACTTTTACACGTACCATTCAGTGGAAGCAACGTTAATTTAAATAACATTAATGGATGAATCCTTCTACCCATCTAAAAAAGTAAATGCTATTTTACGAACACAAAGAGGATGCTGTTGCCGCTCGTGCAGGCACTGACCCAGATGTGGAGTGATGTGCTCGATGCAGACGTTGAAGAACTCTTCGCCGTTGGGAGGCTCGTAGTTCATCAGCGCAAAGAGGAGAATCACTGTGTAGCAGGTCTTATAGTGAATCTGTGAATGGGGAAATAAAGAGCTTAAGGCGGCACAAATTAAAACAAAAGTTACTGTGTGGTAAGTCGGACAGTGGAGAACAGCAGGCGAACATAATAGAAAAATGGGGAAAGGAAGAGGCAGAGAAAAGCGGAGTAACGATGTGGCTGGGTAGCTCAGGGGTCAGTGTCCTCAGCCAGCACTGCTGAGATGCTGGGTTTGAATCCAGGCTTCAGTTGATCTGTGATTAAACCGAGTGCTCAAGTGCAACGAGTTGATGGTCTCAGCCACGTTGCAATGAAGTACACAAACATCCATCAAATTGCATTTGCATTTTCACTTAAGCTGGCTACATGCCAGCTCCGATATGAACAAATATCAGTTTAATTGTAATGCGACAACATTTCTAGAGCCAGGCAGAATGTGTGGGAAAGTGCACCCCCGAGTGCGTGGGTCTCTGTAAAAGTATAAGGGTCTCTATGGGCATCACTGGTAACCAGGCTGACACCATCAACTCACTATACCTGAGTATCCCGTTTAACCTCAATTCTGTATATTATTTTTCTAGTTTGCATTATTCATTTAACAGTTTTGCAACAAATGAAGAACCATATTTAAGTGAGGATCTTTGCCTATAAACATGCGATAATTCACCAACATTGGTACGGGCGGGCCCAACTCTACTGATGAGATGCCGAGTGTCAAAACCGGTCCAGAGTTTGCCTGCGTTGAACCAATTCTGCTGAAATTATACACTCCCAGAAAGCCATGTGGCTGATGGGATGTGTCAAAAACGACTTATACTTTTTAATGTGGAGCAGCAGATATAGGATAGAAACATGTTGGCTGCTTATTTATTCAGTCTGTGTAAGGGTATGGTGGGTTCCCCTCCCCTCTTTGCCCAGGTGCAGTTACAACTCCTACCACACTTGAGAGCTGTGTAAATGATCGTGAGGATTAACGCGCCACCGACGCCGCTACCCACCTGCTTGATGTTGTGCATGGCGACGGCGGCGATGCTGTCCAGCACCTCCGGCTGCAGGTAGTAGATGCTGATGAGCAGCTCGCAACAGCGCAGCAGGTTCCCCGGGTGCACCTGCGGGGCCAGGCGGCGCAGCGCCAGCATGGCCTCCTCCAGCACGGCCTCCGTGAACCACGTGCCCTTCACGAGGTGGTGCTCCTCCAAGAACGTGTCCAGAGACTCCATCTGCTCGAGTCGAGACAGCGCCATGTTGCGCAGCTGCGGCAACAGCCGTGACAGGCGGCTGTTGGGGATGGGTGGGCGAGGGGGGAAAGAGGGTGTGGGGGGGGTTGGGTGGTCCACATCAAGTACATTCGCAAGGACAAGCCGGGGTCCATTGCATTGCTCAGCTATGGCCTCTGCAGGCCAGATTCATGCCCGGGGGTGGAGGTTACAGTAATGTCCCTGATCTATAGCCAAATGATTCCCGACTAAGGCGATAATGTATGCACGGGGATAAAGTGGTCATGAAAATAATTAATTTGATTCATGTCCATGACATCTTGGAAATGGTTGTAAAAACTATTTAAATTAGGTGCTTATGTACTTTCAGCTTATGTCCCGATACAAAAGGCCTTAGAACAGTGGCCTGTCCTAAAAACCAATTGAGTGTGGGATATTCAATTTTGTACGATTAGTTTTGTGGCAAATGTTACCTGAACGTGTCCCAGGCCTTCCCTTAATCAACTAAGCCTCGTTGAGACAGCAGTGTAGGAACATTGACACTGGGGAAAGGCGGCTAATATGGTGCTGGCCATGGCCTACACAACCCCCCTCGAGCACCATTAGTCTTAACAGATATCCACTGTGAACACTTTCCCCAACAGGAGAAATACCACAATCCAGTCGTCACACATTCTGCGAACTCAGCTAAAATGCCAGCGATCCCTGACCCCGGACCCCCTTCACTCCCTCCCGGAAGCTGCGCACCTGTCGGCGCCGAGGGTCCGCACCCTGCGGTTCGCCGAGTGCCACTTGGCCAGCGCCGTGCCCAAGTTGGCCAGGTCCGCCAAGCTGGCCTGCGGGATCAAGGCCTCCATGCGCGACGAGACAACGTCGGCTGCCGCCTGCGAGCCCAGGAACGCGTGCGCGGGCATCGGCAAAATCGCGAGCAGGCGAACCAGCCTCCCCGCCTCGTTCATCCCATAGGCACTCTGCAGCAAACTGTGTGGTGGGCAGTGGTTGGGAGAAGGGGGGGGGGGGCAGAATGGAGGAAGGAAACATCTGTGTGGCGTTTTGAGATGCAATCACATTCAGGTATTTATAAAGCTAACAGTATTGAAGATGGAGGAGCAGGGGAGATAAGGGAGAGAACAGGGGAGGTGGAAGCAGGATAAAAGCGGGAAAGGAGAGCACATCGAGGAAGAGGGTAGATGTAAGAGTCACAATTTCACTTCTAAAGAGTTGAACTCGCTCAATAAGTAGCATCTGGTGATGGTTAAGTAAAAAGGTTGCAGCCACGCGAGTAAGTTTGTAATGATTCATCCACTCATCAGTTAAAATCGATTTTATACTATGAATAACACACATCGAGTCGTGAGAATTTATTATTTTCAACTGAAATTATATGGAGCAATTGTTTACATTTTTATTGTTTGTCTTATTGTAGAGACTCAAGTCTAAGCCGACAGGCAGGAAACAATTCCCAAGTATTTCTTGGACACACGCGTTAAACTGCTCTCTGTGATTTAACAAATTGATTCTTCAACTCAGGATATGACGTCGATAGCACAAATGTAATAAACTGGGGAGGGAGGGGGAAGAGACCAACAAAAGAGTTAAAGAGAAGCGGACGAGTGAGTGCAGGTGGCACGTCCCCGTGTCCCCTGCCGTGCTCACGCGAGGATGCGTGACGCGAGCAGTGGCATGAGTGCCGTGTCCACACAACGCAGCTCCAGCGCGGCTTGTGTGGCGCGCACCAGCTCAGTTGTGCGGTACGTGGGCAGGTAGTGGCGCATCATCTCCATTGCTCTGGCGCACGCACGCACAAACACACGTGTACAAATGCACACATACATGGCGCGCATACACATACACACACAAAGATCTCCTCCTGATCTCTTGGCTTCAATATCTGGCTGTGGCTGACATCGGTGGCGAGTGATATTGAAGCCAGTTCTGGGCTTGCCGGCTTTACCAACCCACACTGAAAAGCATGGTTAAGTATAGAAAAACAACGCTCATGGCAGACATTTGGGATTGGCTTGGTTTAGTGAGTGAAGTGATAATGCTCTATAAACGATGCCAATGTTGTATTTAGGCCAACGGATTTTATAAACAAGATAGAAATACACGACTTAAAAAATAATCGACTACTGAATCGACAGTTGGGACCATTCAAACAAAATCGCTGGAGCAGAGGGTGAAATTTTCCACGCCGACCCTTGAACCACCACCGGTGACACGTACTTCTGGATGACAAGAGGGTTCTTGCATCTCATCTCTGCTATGCCCTCCATGAAAAACGTCGACTGACTCTTCGAAAACCGGTCGATGTGCTTCAGTATGGCCTTCTCCAGGCTGTTGGGGCCACAAACAGAGGTGGGCGTGGGCAAGAGACCGCAGCACATTTAGTAGAACACAAAGTGCAATTTCAAAACCAACTAAAGACCATGGGTCTGTCTTGGGGTGAAGCAGAGAAAGCTGCTAAAGACCGTCCGCCATGACGTGGGCTTGTTGCGGCCTTATGCTCCACAAGGAGCGAAAAAGAGTTCGATAACAGTGCAATTTCTTGGTAATAATAAAAAACACAATTTATAACGCACGCTACAAGCCAAACTGATCAAAGAATTGCCCAAACTTGGGAGACAAACCAGTGCTAAGTTTGACTATTCATGAATATGAAAATGCTTTTTACTTGTCGCCTTCCACACTAAGGGAATACTCTCGAGCACAACAGGTGTGAGAACGCATTTCAGAATCCACACACGTATGCACGACTTAGATGATTATATATATTTCAACGGTTCCTGCGCTGACCTCCTGCGGATGTCCGGCCCAGCGAGCGGCCCGTAGACGGTGAAGACGCGCAGTGCGGACTGCGGGTGTGCCATCGGGTCGGCCCAGATGCCCATCATGATCTCGGCGTCTTTTCCCCGGGACTCCTCATCCAGCTCCTGCAGAACCTGCGTCTCGTCGGCCCCATGGCTCTTTTGGCCGTCGTCGCACCAGCTGTGCGGGGGCATCAGCTTCTGCAAGCGCTCGCGCGCCGCCATGTTGAAGGAGGTGCTGTTGTAGGACAGGCCCCGCAGGTGGCGCAGCACCGTGCACACCTTCGCTATGTTCATCACTGGCAGCAGCTACACTCAGTCGGTATCGTTCAAGCACAGCCGAAATAACATTAACATTTTACACGTCATTGTCAATTTTGTTCATGTGTAGTAAGAGTAGCGTGTCAATGACACATTATTTTCAATTTTTTTGGTGCTTTTTATTTATTTATAAAAACGTACTGGAAATGTTGATAAGTTACAATGTTTTTTTTCTCCAAGAGATTAACAACTCAATTTTAACAGGCCAACAGCCAATGAAAATGTGGTGCGATGTGATAAAAGTGCTATGCGCAGATGAATGGCACTTGTAGTGAGAAACCCTAACTTAACAACCCAGGCAGCCACCCGTCATTAAATTAGGTTCTGGAGTGTAGTTATTTGCTAGTCTCACGTTAGTCACCAATGACTGCATAAAAAAACCATGACATACAATTTTGTTCTGTACTTAATAGCAGCTCTAAGAATTAAAAACATGTGTTTAACTGTCATGCAATGAACATTACTCTTAGTTGCAGAGTGGTAGGAGAGTGCTTCCCCCTATTGTGCAGACCAAAGGTCACTTGAAGGGATCTCAAAAGTAGTTATGTGTTATCAGCTTCTATGGGCTATTCACTACCACAATGGACTGACGGCACCGCTCTGTGAGAGATTTAAATGGAATCCGTTTCATGACATGACCTCGATAGCAAAATTGGACTAGAATTGGTAAAAAGACTGTACCTGTGTTCGTTAACGAAATGACACACGGATCATGATCATGTATAATGACAATGGAAAAAAAGTAGAAAAGTGTACAAAAAAGCACAGAGAAAAGCAATTGGACAACATTTTTTTAAAATAAACTATACATTTTAACCAACGAATCATAACATGCCTAGGGTGTGCAAGCATGCAACGTACGTTTGTCAGGTGCTTGGCAATGCTGTCGACGAGCGATTGGTGCATGTGCTGCGACCCCTGCAGGAATTTGAGCATCCACAACAGCGATCGGTAAATGCGCAGCTGCTCCACCTTCCAGTTCTCCACGCCATCACTCTCCATCCTCTCGGTGGGCGCTACTGCAAGGTCGTCCTCCTGTGTCGCTCTTGATGGCATCGATGTCTCCTGCAGCTGCAGTTTGTCGAGCTGCTCGATTGCGGCGTCCACCATTTGCAGGCGCAGCTCCGCCGAGACCACTTGCGTTGTCGCCAGCATGAACTTCGACAGCACTCTGATGCGACGGGGAGACAGGTGGTGAGGCGGGGCACGGAGGAGAGGGTGGTGGAGAGAGGTGGTGATCGAGAGAGCTTGCGAGAGGGAATGGGATGGATGTGCAGGCTTGGCGAGCCTGCTGTGCCATGAGCGACAAGGCTTGGATTTTCAGAGAGATGGTGGCGTGAACGTTTGCCCATATCTGAGACCCTGGAATAAAGTGGCTTGTGTGTGTGTACTGTACATTTTCACGTGCGCATGCGTGTTCCCGTTTCTACTTAAAATCTGTGTGGACGTGCATATGCAGGTGCATGTGCCAAAGAATGAGCGCATACATGTGCGTACGTGTGTGGGCATATACATGCATACGCGTGTAAGGGTGCACCGCTCAAGTGCTCACCTAATATTCAAGTTGTGCAGCTCCAGCCGCAAGCGCTCAGCAATTCGCCCGGCTGCACGGCTCCTATGCAGCTGCTGATCCATGAGGCTCATCGCCAACTTGGACAGCTGTAATAGCGGCAGCCTGCAGGATGCACGAGTCTCTATCACAGCCCACGACGATGAGCTTCTCGCCCAACCCAAGACCCCCACCCCCGCCCCCCACCAATGTTACCGGCCTTCGCAGTAGCGTGGCATCAGTGGCAATTGCCCTGGTGCATGGAATTTAATTACATCCACTGTCCAATTTTTCCGGTCTTTTCAGGTTGGCACCTCTGACCTGTGGGTACCAGTGCGCAGTTGACCACCTGCACACTCAATAGCTACAAATGTTCTGCAGAGCTAACAAGAGAGGGTCTTTGCTCCTGCACATAGCCAAACGGGGGCCACCAAGTGTCAACATTTTTCTCAAACAGTGCAGCCATGATAAAGCCACGGGTGGCTGATGGTCTCCCTAATCCATCACCATCACTCATGGTCCAGCAATTAAACAATCCATCTAGCCCCTGCACATATGCGGATTTAATTGCTCCATCACTGCAGTGAATGTCCTCTCAGGCGTTTTCCTACTTTGGCTGCCACTCCATCATTAGTCTTGACCACATGCCATTATTTCTTCAAGTGATGGGTCTAACTTGCATATGTTCTCTCATACAAGTGTCCCTCTTCTTGTCACTCTCTGTGCTTTGCACACTTTGTAGTTTTGTTTCAGTGGCCACAACAAACAAGGGAACAACACCTAACATTTGGGGAGGGGGCATATTTCCTTGGAAGACCGTAGAAAATGTAAAATCTGAGATGTAGGTGTGGTGCCAAATGTGGAAGTAAAAAGTTACAAGAATGTTGTGAAGCAGGCAGAAAAATTACGTGAAATATTGGGAACGAGATTCAAGCCTCACCGGTCGATGCGTCGACAGCCCTCGACCGTCAGCTCCTGCACGAGTGAGTCGTGGTGATCCACCTTCAACCTGCAGCAGGAAAATCCCAAACATTCCAATGTGATTCCCCCACTCCACTCCTCCTGATTACATCATTAAGTGTGCATCTCCAAACCGTTACACGTCATATAACGTGTTATATGGTTGAAATGTAACGTTAATTAAAAAGGGATGTTGTAAAGCATATTTTGTGTTTATACGTTTTATGCAAAATATGCACGTGTCCAACGGAACCACTAAAGGTGCTAAATTCTCCACAAACACAAAAATCTATTTTGGAATCGAATCGTGACCCTGCATTCTTAGATTTTATACAATCACCGGGTGGTGTGGAAAGGGGTAGAAGGGAATCATAAAAAATCTTAAACCGTTTTATCGAGGCTTCACTGTAAGTGCTCTCTTAATCCCACAACCCCTGCAAGCCGTACCTGAGTGCGGCAGAAAGAATCCCGACGAGGTCGTCATCTCCCATCTCGTACAGCCGGCGCACGACAATTGTGCGGATCATGCCAAACTGCGGGTGCTCCCGCAGTGAACCCAAGAGCTGCGGCCGCGGTTGCTTTTGTCGCTGCTGCTGCGGCCACCACTGCCACTGCTGCTCACGCAGGACGCACAGCGCGCTCAGCGCATGCAGAGCGTGCCGCTCGTTCAGTTCAGACGGACTCCGGCTAAACGTGTCAAGCAGCTCCTCCTCCGAGTGGCACGCCCACAGCCGCTCCACCATCGGGTCTGGCGGCACTAGCGGGCTCGCGTCCCCAGAGAAGGGAGGTAGTGACGGCGTCGACGGTGACAGCAATAACGTCGATGCTGCTGGTAACGACGACGACGACAAGGACTGCATCTGCGGCAGCATCTCCCCATGCCGCCTTGCGCCGCACGGACGAGACGGAGCCCCCGGACGAGACGGAGCTGCAGGGAATGACTGTGCCGATAAAGCGAAACTGTGCTTGGACTTCCACGACGTTGGTGTTCTTGGAGGAGGTGATGGCATTGCGTCTGGGCTGCTCAAGCGTCTCCACCAACATGATCGTCGCAGCGATGGAGCCAGAAAAAAATTGGGATGCAGCCGATACATCATGGCCAACAGTAAAAATACTAGCCTTACACGCTGTTTTGTTTGTTAACTGTTACTGGGTCCAAGAGCACAGGAGATAAATCTCAGCATCGTAGGTGTACACCGCAGCCTACCATGTTATTAAGTCAATGAACAGTACAAATGTGTTTCTGTTAAATACGAGACGTTATGAACCACAAAATGAATACACTTTACGATTGATCACGATGATAATGGGCTGAGCATTTTGCAAGTGGTTATTTTCCAGTGAGGACTCTTTCGTCAATGGTTGTACTTTTCACAATGAAGACTGTTTCAATGTCAGTCCAGACTCTTTAGCCAAGCTCCGAGGACACTATCCCACTGGGGTGCCATCAAAACGGCATGCTTCGGGTTGCCTTCTTGAAACCTGAAATGAGAAGGGACCTGACCGATTACAAATAAACTTATTCACATTCGTCAATAACACTGCCTTAAAAGGAAAAATATTAAACAGGTGACATTACGGGCAATTCACATTTTTCATAGCACGTGGATTTGTTGAAATCCCGTTGGCACAAGCCTGGGTATTTTCCATGGCATGTGATGCAAACAGCAAACACCAGCACACGTATTCCATGCTGAACTCGATAATAAATCAGAACTCATCGACAAACACGCAAGCTAGAATTGTCATCATTAGCCATTGTCTTATTCACTGCTGCTTGAAGACGGAAGTCGAGATAAAACACTTAATCTCATAGGTCCTCTGCGATGCGTACTGTATATTCTTCCATACTCATATTGACTGACAGAGGCGTCTCAATACAGTACATCAAAGTGGTTTCTTTAAAATCAGACATTATGACACACAGACTTACAGAGGCAGGCACAGACACAAAGCCAACACAAAGCCAAGTGAATATACACGGAGAGAGACCAATGCAGAGAGACAGCAAATCACAGAAACGACACAAAAACGACGAAGCAGACAACTGAAGGAGAAGATACTTAACACAGATATATGGCGACAAGGGACGCGGGACGAGAGAGACACAGGGTGAGAAAAAAAAGATAGAGACTCAGAGACAGTCGGAAAAAAAACTCAACAAGTGTGGGCCCTTTCCATTTAAAGCTTTCGTGAATGCAGGGATTCATATTCTTGGTTCTTTCGGTAAAGTCACGTAGAAGGAAAATAATAATTGCGTTGGGTTTTCACACCTGATGATGATTGCTTGTGTTGCAATCGAAATGTCGTGAGAATTGTATTGTTTAATTTTGTATTATTTCCCTTCTACGTGACTTTACCGAAAGAACCAAGAACAAGTGTGGGCCCTGTGCAAGGTGCACGTGGTTCACTCGCGTCAAGATGCCGGCAGGCCCAGAGACGTTTTCAAATTTCATTTATTAGGTGAAGCCCTGTGAGCCATGCGGCTCTTGAGTCGGGTGCAACCGCAACAAACAAAATATGAACAGAGAACATCTTAAAGCGACGACGCGCAACAGAAACATCCTGGAAAAACCAGCAAATCTTCCAGAAAAAAAACCCCACTGTATTACAACGCTGTGTGCAAAAAATCCCAATATGATGCAAGTCAAACAATAACAACCATAAGACATAATAGAGGTTTCCCCCCTCTATCTGGCAACAAAACCGAAACCTTTTTACAAGGATCCCAGTCCACCATGGTCCTGGCAGCCACGGTGAACAATTTACCCTGGTGGGTTCACGCGCTCATCACGACAGCTTTAGACGGAGGCCAGCGTCTCGAGAAGCTGTGACTTCTTGTCTTGTCTGTTAAAAACTCTAACAGATAGGTGAAATTCCTCCCCATAGAGGGTATTAATTCTAGATTTGAAGCTTTCGTGACTGCAGGGATTCATACTCTTAGGTTTTTTCGGTAAACGTACCTACGTGACTTTACCGAAAAAAACCTAAGAGTATTCTATATGTATAAAGCACGCTACCTAGCACTTACCTGTTATAAACCTTTTTCATGTGTAGTAGTACCCCAGTAATTACCCTGTAATCGGGTAATTTGTATGGAGTAAGGGTAAAAGGTAGGGTAAAGGTAGGCTCGTTGCTTTTTAACTTTTACCTTACCTGCTACAGGGTAAAAGGTAGGGTAGAGTGATTGTATTGTGGTATGATAAAAGGTAAGGTAAAGAGGCTTGTTGTTTTTACATTTTAACTTTTACCTTATCTTACCGAGGCCTACTATTTGTTAGTGTTTCTCCCTTTGTAGGATGAGCGTTGATATTGATGACCAATACGGTCAGAATTGGTCTGTAAAAAGGTAGGCACTGATAAGGGGCTTACCTTTTAAGAGGTTTCCTTTAATCCTTCACGATTCCTGTCACAGGGAAGAGCAGAGGTCCGCAATGTTAAAGTCTAACTCCACTACTGCATACAGTAATTTGTACAAATGTTTCGTGTTCGTGAAAGAACACGTCCCACGATTGCCTTTAAGAATGCCGCTTGCTGGACAGAAACGTGGCCCCTTGTAGGGGAGGAAGTACAGCAAGTAACAATTCGTAGTCTTCACCACAGTCAATCAACATCAATGCTTTCCTGTAACTGTTTCGCAAAGTCTCTTACACAAAATTAAAACCAGAGGCGAACAAAATAACACGAGGGACAAGCCGTGTAACAAGCCTGTACAGCCCGTGTAACAAGCCCGTCGAGAGGTTTGGGGGGGCAACTTGCTGCTAATGCGAGCACCTTTGAAGGCCGACAAGGGGGACACCCGGCCGCCTTTGTCTCCCCAAGTGGGCGATGTTTACGAGACGCCGCACCAGGTAATCATTTGAGGCCGAGTCGACCTAGGGAAGGCCAGAACCGGTTCAGATCATCGCCACCGCTGTTGGCCGTCAGCGCGAATCGAACCCGGGTGGCCAAGTTCGCAGCGCACCGCGACACACACGTGTACACACACACACTAGTGTACACACACACACTAGTGTACACACACACACACTATTGTACACACACACACTAGTGTACACACACACACACGCACTAGTGTACACACACACACGTGTACACACGCACTAGTGTACACACACACGCACTAGTGTACACACACAACTAGTGTACACACACACTAGTGTACACACACACACACACTAGTGTACACACACACACTAGTGTACACACACACACACGCACTAGTGTACACACACACACACGCACTAGTGTACACACACACACACGCACTAGTGTACACACACACACACACTAGTGTACACACACACATACTAGTGTACACACACACACGCACTAGTGTACACACACACGCACTAGTGTACACACACACACTAGTGTACACACACACACTAGTGTACACACACACACACTAGTGTACACACACACACACACTAGTGTACACACACGCACTAGTGTACACACACGCACTAGTGTACACACACGCACTAGTGTACACACACACGCACTAGTGTACATACACACGCGCACTAGTGTACACACACACACTAGTGTACACACACACACGCACACACTAGTGTACACACACACACTAGTGTACACACACACACACGCACTAGTGTACACACGCACTAGTGTACACACACACGCACTAGTGTACACACACACACACACTAGTGTACACACACACGCACTAGTGTACATACACTAGTGAACACACACACGCGCACTAGTGTACATACACTAGTGTACACACACACGCACTAGTGTACATACACTAGTGTACACACACACGCGCACTAGTGTACACACACACACACACTAGTGTAAACACACACACACTAGTGTACACACACACGCACTAGTGTACACACACACACACTGGTGTAAACACACACACTAGTGTACACACACACTAGTGTACACACACTAGTGTACACACACACACGCACTAGTGTACACACACACACGCACTAGTGTACATACACTAGTGTACACACACTAGTGTAAACACACACACTAGTGTACATACACACTAGTGTACACACACACACACACGCACTAGTGTACACACACACGCACTAGTGTACATACACACGCACTAGTGTACACACACACACTAGTGTACACACACACACTAGTGTACACACACACACACTAGTGTACACACACGCACTAGTGTACACACACACGCACTAGTGTACACACACACACAGTGTACACGCACACACACGTACACACACACGCACTAGTGTACACACACACGCAATAGTGTACACACACACAGTGTACACGCACACACACGTACACGCACACGCACTAGTGTACACACACACTAGTGTACACACACACACGCGTACACACACACTAACGACAACACATCTACCTTTATAAACGTTGTTAATTCCTCACGGGACAGCGCAGAGTCAAGAGCAAGCCGACGGCACGTTTCACTTTAGCGCAGTTTCGTCAACAACAGTCGGAGGGCGGCTACCCACCCCGCACTTGTTACATCCAGGCACCAGCAGCAAGCAACAATCCAGGGGCAGTGGTGGTGGTGGTACAAGCTGCACGTGGTGGTGGTGGTACAAGCTGCACGTGGTGGTGGTGGTACAAGCTGCACGTGGTGGTGGTGGTACAAGCTGCACGTGGTGGTGGTGGTACAAGCTGCACGTGTTATGGTGGTAGTGGTACAAGCTGCACGTAGTGGTGGTGGTACAAGCTGCACGTGTTGGTGGTGGTGGTACAAGCAGCACGTGTCTATGGTGGTGGTGGTACAAGCAGCACGTGGTGGTGGTGGTGGTGGTGGTACAAGCTGCACGTGTTATGGTGGTAGTGGTACAAGCTGCACGTGGTGGTGGTGGTACAAGCTGCACGTAGTGGTGGTGGTACAAGCTGCACGTGTTATGGTGGTAGTGGTACAAGCTGCACGTGGTGGTGGTGGTACAAGCTGCACGTGGTGGTGGTGGTGGTACAAGCAGCACGTGTCTATGGTGGTGGTGGTACAAGCTGCACGTGTTTATGGTGGAGCCAGGCAGGCTGCAAACCGGCCGATCGTTTCGTTTCGTTCCGAGTCATCCTCCTCCTCCGTGCGGCCATCTTACGTGAGGGGGCAACGTCATTGACGTTAAGAGTTAGAGCGCCTCGCGTACGGCGTCGGACTCGTCCTTTCGTTCGTGCGGGCCGATTGTGGACGCCGAGCAACAAACTACAAAGTCTCACGATTAATCGAAGGTGGTCCGAGCGCCGAGCGCTGTCAAGTGTCTCCGTATTAGTTGTGGATCGGGCGCGTTGGCGTCGTTGTGTCCATACGTCGTGCGGTCAGCTCTGGATGACCCAACACAGTCGGACACTGCAGAGGTCATCGACTGAAGACGGTCACTGATGAGCGTAAAGAAAGTTTCTTCAGTTGAGTGTAAAACAACAAAAAATGACGCGAAATCCTCAACTTCGGTTCCTCTACAAAGATGGCTCCCCGCGGTTTCAAGGCGTGCGGCAGAAGAGTCGCGGAGTCACCCTCGACCCCTCCCCTCGACCTCCCCCATAACCCCCCCGACCCCTCCCCCCCCATCCCCCTCGACCCCCCCCACAACCCCCCTCGACCCCCCCCCCACAACCCCCTCGACCCCCCTCCACCACCATCTCCCCCGACCCCCCCTCGACCTCCCCCACAACCCCCCCGACCCCCCCCCACAAAAACCCCCCGACCTCCCCCCCAACAACCCCGACCCCCCACAACCCCCCCCCCCGGGGGACCCCCCTCCACACCCACCCCGAACCCCCTCCACAACCCCCCCGACCCCCCTCCACAACCCCTCCACAACCCCCACCGAATCCCCCCCACAACCCCAGACCCCACCCCCCACCAACCCCCCCGACTCCCCCCCCACAACCCCCGACCCCCTCCACAACCCCCCGACCCCCCCATCCACAACCCCCCCGACCACCCCCTCCACAACCCCCCCGCCCCCCCTCCACAAACCCCCCCCGACTCCCCCCCCACAACCCCCCGACCCCCCCCACCCCCCCGACCCCCCCTCCACCCCCCCTCGACCCTCCCTTCCACGACCCCCCCCCCCAAAGGCGGGCGATGACGTAATCGACAATTGTATTCCCTGCAGCGCTTGGGCGCCTGCGTAAACACTCGCGGGCCAATCGAAGCGAGGGGCGCGTGTGCGCTCTAGAAAATTAAAAGCGCCTAGTAACGCTGCCGTCAGCAGCGCGGACATGACCGAGCAAAACTGATATTTTATTTTAAAATCCGCATTACAATCGCCCCGAAATAAGTCCACGTTTTTATCTCACTTCACAATAAGCAACTATTATATATTTTCAATATATAAATAAAACGGTAGGTGACGTCACACGCGTAGACGGCTTCCGGTGCCGCGCGATTTCCGGGGAGGGGTCAGAGAGGGGTCACCGCGGGGTCACGGCGGGGTCACGGCTCCACTCGCCCCTCCCCGTGGTCGTTGCGAGGCCATCACCGGGCCGCCTCGGACCGTGGCAAATTCGTCGTCGTCGGTCGATCGATCGACTGATCGATCCCTCGCTCGCTCCCGATAAACCGGCGGTGGTTGCCGTCAGCCAGCTCGGCTGTCTCGTCGTGAATTTGACGGATCGGCGGGGCGGGAAGGCGCGCCGAGTGTTCGGACGGAGGTAAAGAAAAAGGCGGCAGTGGTTTTGGGCCTTCACTTTTGTACAGTGGGGACGTGGGGGGCGGGTTTCGTCTTGTTGCTAAAACTCGGCACAGTTGTCCACTGCTGCTGTAACGAGGCAATGGACTCTTTAACCACCGGTCAGTGTCAGCCTGTCGTCCGTCTGGAAACGTTCTCACAATTCAATGTTTACCAGGGCCCGTGGAATCATGTGGGGAGCGGTGGTGTAGCGGTTAGCGCGCTGTGCTATGAACCTGGCGACCCGGGTTCGATTCCCGCTCACGGCCAACATCAGTGACGATTATCTGAACCGGTACCGGGCCTCCCCTAGGTCGACTCAGCCTCAAATGAGTACCTGGTGCGATGTGTAAACATTGCCACTGGGGAGACAAAGGCGGCCGGGCGTGGTGTTGGCCACCCACCCCCTCGTGTGCCGTGCCGGCCTTCATAGGTGCTCGCTAACAGCACTTGCCTCTGCAGTCTGTTAAGGCTATACGGGGGATCTTTGTGGAATAATGGTCTCCGGTTATAATTCACTGCGTATCTCTTGCAATTACCGGAAACGTCGCCTTTTATATAGCGCGTTAAAGCATCTGACGAATCTGTTGATTGTGTTGGGAGTCACTCCACAGTCACATGCCGGGGTCTCTGCAGACTGGCCCGCTTATCTTGTTGAATTGTAATTGTCTTCACTTTGAAGAGTTGATAGTTGATGATGGTGATGTGACTCGGCCATCCTGGGCATTGTTTTGTGTTAAAGAGCTTACGATTGAGGACCCTGATGCTTTACCAGATAAACAGTTTTGAATTCTAGTACGGCGTACCGTTTTCTTTACTGATAAATTAATGTTTACATGAGCTAATTGGATATGTGAAGGGAAATATGTTTACGATACTGAATTGGTGGAGGGCTCGGTTCATTATTGGGAGTGAACTTTGCACAGAACGTTTCATAGTTGCAAAACGTGTTTTTGGGAAGAAAAAAATGCATATTTAATTTCACTACCCTTTATTACATAAGAAAAGATGCACTATACAATGCCCTTTCATCCTTATACATGTCTTACAGAAAGGCTTTTGTCGTGGAAAAATGTATCTTAAAGTAGTCAAACTTTTTGAAAGTAAATAAATTTTTTCACACAATAATTTAAGAAAAATATCTTCCAAATCTATACAGTCAAAGTTTGTGGGGAATTACACCCTTTACATAATGTATGTATTATTTTGAAGAAAAACTGCATTTGCCTTGAAGCTCCACAGACTGTGAACTGACCATCGTTTTTCAGCTATTGTCACTCGTTTCGCCACAGCTTGAAGTTCTTCATTTTGTAGAAAATACGTTTATTAAAGCTTCTCCATCCTTGTATTCTAGAGATACCACAGTGCTGCCAAAATACATCCTCGATGGACAGTTTCTGACAGTGGCCCCTTCAAGATTCACACATAGGTACGGGTTGTCATTCCGTCTTACTAAACACAACATTCCAAACGATCTTTTTTCTTTTGTACACACCATTTCACGCTATGCTTAAGGAGTATGTGGTCAAACTCTAAAGGACAGTGCAGCTGAGTTAATTCTAGCAGGGAGCAACTTGATTCACTTGTTTTTCTGTGAGTGCACATGGGAGTTGACTGCCATGCAGTCACTGCAAACTGAAAGCTTTCTGGGAGCACTGTTTTATTTTAAGCCACATTCTACTCTTGAATATCCCACATTTACAACTAAAATCGGAAATTATAATCGAGTCAAACCATTCTGTGGATTGGACAGCATCACGGTAAATGTTGCCACAATAATAGTCGAGTATGGCACTCGCTGGGCTCGCGGTGTTCTCACGGCTGACGCTTACCAACAGCTGGCCCCGTCTATTCGTGGCCTGACCTGCCGTTAGAGAATGCGTACACATGAACAAGACCCTTACTTCCCCTTCACTGTCAGAGATAACTTCCTGCTATCGATTCTGTTGCCTGTGTTTAGTCCAAGTGCGTGCGCACAGATGTTAAGTCGTGAAATCTTCTGTGCGCAAAGTGTTTTTATTATGCTGATGTTGCTTATTCATTAGTGCCATCCCGTAAAGGATATTTTTTTTTTCTGGAAGTTTAGGACGTCGAGTGTCTTTGGCGGTTGTGACGCACATGGTCAGTCATGGGTGTGAAGCAAAGACCAAGGTGCTTTTTTGACATCGCCATCAACAGAATCCCTGGTAAGCGCACCCTACTCAGAACAATATCACTGCATTTCGGTGTCAACCAGTTGCATAGGGGTCCTCTGTTATTTCTTTCTCTGAAAAACATATTAAACATCTGCGGTTTGCTTTGTGCCACCAACAGCTGGGAGGATCGTGTTTGAGCTGTTCTTTGACGTTTGCCCAAAGACTTGTGAAAACTTCCGATGTCTATGCACAGGTAATGATAGTTACATCCTTTGCATAGCAGTGAGAATAACTGCCACCCTTAAGTTACATTCCTGATGATGCTGTGACAAATCACTACTTTTGTTCATGTTCTTGCGGTCATAAGTCATAAAAAAAATTTCAGTTGTACATTTAATTCTCAACATTTTTTGTCATTAAAAAAGTGCAAATTATTCCTTCAGGTGAAAGAGGAATTGGGAAAATTACTCGGAAACCCTTGCATTTTCGAAGCACCTCATTTCACCGCATCGTCAAGAACTTCATGGTGCAGGGTGGCGACTTCAGCGAGGGTGAGTTTTCTTGGAGGGGTGTTCTTTGTTTTAAGTGGGCATATTGTCATCTTGCATTCGTTCATCATCAGCAGAAATGTATCCACTGCTAGATGAAGGCCTCACTAAGCTGTGGCTCTATCTCATGGTCCTGTTATGTGACAATCCATCTAGCACTTGCACACAAGCGGAGTTCATCTCTCAATCTCTGAGGTGGATCTCCTCTCAGGCAAATTTCCTCCTTTACTGCCACTCTTTCCTTAGTCTCAACCACAGAAATCTTCCGTTCTAGCAACGTGTCCTGCCCAAGCCCACATTTCTTAAGCCAATATGTCTCTAATTTGTGTATCTACCGTAATGTGCTGCCATCTCTGTCTCTCTGCAAATTCAAACATGCATATCTCATGCTTCTTTGCACATTTTTTTACTTTTCCATTGTCATTGTCCACGTTGCCGATCTATTAGTCATTGGCTACATTAACACCATTAATACAGATATATTCCTGTATTTTATTTCAATTTTGGTTTCAACATCATAGTCATCATTAGACTAAAAATCAATTGTAATCTCTTCACGATCTAGGCGGAACACTTTCCAACATGTTTTGCTATCGAGCAATGTCGTTCACATGACAGTGAAACTTGAATCCCTTTGTAAATTAAGTGAAAGACCTCATTTCATGTGATGAGGTTTTTGTGCAGTCATTGCTGACCATAGTGAGACCATAAACTGACGATACCTGATAACCCAGTTTAACCACAGGTTGGCTGAATCTGGATATGAAACCAAGATCTTATCAGTGCTGGCTTGGTACCCTAATTCTTGAGTCGTCCAACCACCAATCTGCCTATGACCAAATCACCCGAATTGCACCCCAACTCATTAGATTGTCAAAGCTAATTACCAATGACTGTTGTTCATAATAGGTGCTACAACTGGTGGGCAAGAGAGGGCAGTGCATCAAAACACATTTTTGTACCGCGTTTTTATGCGCCCACATCTATGCTCTGCCTCGAACCCACATTGACGAGCGTTGGTGTTTGGTAAAATAGCTCCCAATCCTTGCAGGGGGTGGGGATGCATTCATTCAGCAGTGGATTAACAAATGGCTGTACATGTACAGTACAATTAGAATGTTTTAAGAAAATGTATTTGGATTGCCATAACTCTGCCATTGTCTGCAGGTAATGGGAGAGGTGGCGAATCAATTTACGGCGGTTTCTTTGAAGGTGAGTTTGCCTTGCTCCGTTACAGCTGCTGGCTGCAATTGACACTGTCAAAACATCTCCTATCCTCACTTATGCACACAACACATGCGCTAGCGTAAATGAAATTGATGGATGTTAGTATTGGTCGGTGCATATCCTCAGCTGTGTGTTTAATATCTGGTGCGTGCGCACAGTCTAAAGGCCATTACCAGCGATGGTAGCTTTTGTGTTAGGTGGAAACTTCTTAGCACCTCTGACATCTGTCTGCCTGTTTCACCTGAACACTCTTAACTTATTGTTTTATTTATAGACCGATGTTCTTTGCATTCCACAAGGTGAGTACAGCACATAACAAAAAACTGTGTTCTCCAAAAAATGATGTTTGAACAAGAGGTAGGTTTAAACATGTTCAACATTAACTAGGTCATCTGCCTGGCAACTTCTTATGATGCGAAAAATACCAAATTAACACTTGTGAGTGCCATTTTTGTCTTAAGGCTTAAACGTTTACAGTACGTTTAATAGAGTCTCTTGAAATATTGGATCGACGAGTTTTTATTAGCGCGCTTGCTATGTCGATGACCTTTGTTAGAATAAATTAATTGTGAAATGTTTCCATTAAAAAATGTCAATACTTTAAATTATGGAAAAGAAGGATAGACCTATCTGTAACCTAATTAAGAAATGGAAAATGATTGTAGTAATGGACAGAATTGCATTACTATTTCTTTTTTAAACATGTCAGGGCTCAGTCGACTTGTTTTTTTTTACACAATCACGTTTATTTTGGCACAGATGAAAATTTTCAACTGAAGCATGACCAGGAGTTTCTGCTGTCCATGGCGAACAGGGGCAAGGACACCAATGGCTCCCAGTTCTTCATGTGAGTGGTGTATGTGGCTCGTGGCCATGTGGCCACACCCAGCGTGTGGGCCTGGTGCCATCCCGCTAGTCGTTGGCCTCGGCACTGTGCAACTAACTGACTGGTCAGCTGGCTGGCTGGCTCATTAGTTAGCTAGCCTGATGGCTAGTCGATTGGCGGGTTGGAGCGTTTGATCACTAGCTGGCTGGCCCATTAATTGATTCGCTGGATGGCTCCTTAGTTCACTAGCTGGCTGACCTTTTCGTTAATTGGTTGGCTCGCTGGCTGATTGACTTTTCTGTCAGCTGGCTGTCCAGCCGGATGGTTCCTGTTATTATATAGTGAAGTTGGTAATTTTAAAGGTGTTTCTTTTGTGTGTCTTTTCTGTTCATGAACTGATGATTATTACACGCTTCAATAATTGTTCTGTTATGGTTTCCTTGGCTTAAACAGATGCAAGGTTTGAGTAAAATGAGATGGTGGCAAACATTAGGATCCAGACATGTATGTTATGTACCAACTATTCATTTTTCTTCCACTGATATCTTGCTTTACTAACAGTTGTCTTCTATCGTGTAGATCCAACCGTGTTGCTTTACACCATTCCCAGGGCCTTGAACTGTATACCAGTAACCAGTGGGCAAATTTGCCTACAAGTGTGTGTCTTTGTTCAGCGATGGTGCAGTAGTTCACACATTGCACGGCAAACCCGGAGATCTGGGTTTAGTTCCTGGCCATGGGTAGATAACACTAGTGACAAGTGGTATCTGAACCTGTACTGGGCCTCCCCTTAGCTTTTACTTTAGTGGGGGGAAGGGTGTTAAACAGAACTAGGGAGACAAAGACTGCTGGGCATGGTTCTGGCCACACCACCTCAAGTGTATATGGCTTACCTCAGTATGAGCTCACGGCTGTTTGAGGTTGTAAATCTTTTTTTATTTCATGGAGTTGTGATCCTGAATAGTGACATTTGCGCAGCAGGCGGCAGTGAATTTTGAAATACCTGTTATATACCCACCTGTGCCTGGTAAATATATACCAGATACACTTTCTTTTATAGATTTTTAGTTGCTTTGCTCATTTATAAATCGGTTCACACAAAAGTGTGGGCCCCTGGAATTGGAATTTGATAAGCTGTGGAGTAAATTAGTTTGTGCATTACTGGGTGGTGTTCCTCTGAAACTCCACAGCGTGAAAGAGAAACATGCCAGCTCTGTCTTGATTTGAAGCTTTCGTGACTGCAGGAATCCATAGTTTTTGGTTCTTTCGGTAAAGTCACGTAGGTATAAAATAAAATAAATCGCGACGTTTCAGGCGCAACACAAGCGTCCATCAGGTGGGAAAGCTTGTGTTGCGCCCGAAACGTCGTGATTTATTTTATTTTATTTCATACCTACGTGACTTTACCAAAAGAACCAAAGAGTATGCCAGCTCTGGTTTCTCAGCTTCCTGCTGTCAAAGTTAGAATGGTATGTTGGCTTAATCTGAGAAAGGGACAGCTTTCCAAAAAAATCACATCAACTCGTTTTTCGAAGAGCTGGAATGTGCCATTACAAGCTGTGGGGGTTGAGTTGGAGCCAAGACTCTGTTAAGTTTTGAATTTCTGTCAGGAATTGTACCTTACGATTGCTGTACTTGAATATGTGTGCAAATGTTTACATTACATTAACACTTTTTTTCTGGTGTTAAAATTTCTCTCTTGCCATTTTTGTGTAAAATTTGCAGAATCATTGTTACCCCCTCTGCTATCAAGGTAATGTACAGGACTTCACACCGATCCGATGCAGTTTCCTCTCAGTTCCAGACATTGAAATTCCATTTTCCTCTGTGACCCTCTTAATCAGTAGCAAATGTCACAGCTGAGATGCGCCCCTTGAGCCCTTGCTCGTGGCTGGCATGCCTTCCACTCCCGCGTCGCTGCATTGGCTGCATTTCCTCCGATATCCGCACTTTTAAAAAATTGTTTTCAGCAGTTAATGTACTGCGTCATCTTCATTACACAACTGTGCACTAATGCGTTACAGATTTATTTAAACTGGCAATGGATTTCGCATTTTCGGACGTCACTCAGTAGCCACGGTGGCAATGTAGCCTGCAAAAAATAAATCCAATGGAGCGGTGAACCAGATGCGGCGTTGTGGACATGTGTTTTGGCGTGCGGCGTTAAAAGCTGTAATGCAGCACAGCGCGGAAACGGATGGCTTGTGTGAAGCAGGCAGGGGCGCTTTCCGCTCAACCTCGTATGTCGATTCCACCTGTAGATGACGGTCGCGGTCCAAATTGCGTTTTGTCTCGTGAGTTATCGGACACGTCTCCGCGTTTGTGCCGTGTGATGCTGGAGGCAAAAGCTCGGAGAGTTGATCTGTGCGTTTGTCTCCCTCTTTTTCTCCCCCTCCTTTCCACGTGCTCTGTGGCCACTCTCCATTCACACGCATGCACTGACACCCACACACCCTGCCTCGCCACCGCACGCGCGCACGTGTGCCCGTGTTGATCCGGTCTACGCTTGACTGACCACTGCAGCACCACCAAGCCGGCCCCTCACCTCGACGGGTCAGTGCGCTGCCACTTGCTCTATTTTGTACTGAAGCTTAGATGTTTTGGCCTTGTTCTTGACGCCAACCTATAAATACAGCAGTCACTTTTGTGTATGATCACCTGTTTACGAATGACCATTGGCATTTATGGAAAGTGCTCATGAAAAGTAAAAACACAAAACCTCACTACCTACGACCAAATCCTTAATTTAGCCAATCTCACAGGATATCGGAGAGGTTGAGCCTGCATAGTAATTAGGTGCGAGGCTAGTTAGGAATATTAGGTGTTGTAGTCTCGGCTGTGATGTGGCAAGTACATGCCAATACAATATTGGCTTTTGTGCGGAGCTTTGAGCATTAGAATCTTTAGTAATTATGGGACTATATAAATTAAAATATTTAATATTGTCTAGTAAAGTCTTGTCTTCTCACACGCCAAATACTAATTCATGTAATTGGCCAAATGTCCCAATGCAGGACAGTCTTAAAAATAGTCTTGAGACTCGGTGGTGCTTTCCCATTTATATAAATTACGTCATTATTTGTATCATGCTAAGACTGCAGGGTGTGGAACCGGGGCACGGTGGTTAGCGCATGACACTTGGATCCCAGCAAACTGAGCTTGATTCCTGGGCACAGCTAAATTCAGTGGCGAGTGATATCTAAAACTCTCCGTGGTCCCCATTCCCCCATAATCAACCGACACTGACTAGCATGGCGAAGTTTGGTTCACCCCCAAGGCCAGCATGTTGGAGACATCCAGCAGTGGATTGACAAAGGACTGTAAATTCTTATTCCTAATATGGGAGGGAGATCACTTTTCCTTATGCATTACGCGGGGGCATATGTTGTAGGTTCAGTAAACGGTCAACAGTCCGAAGACACGATCACTTTTTTTTCGCCGCAGAGAGCACGTCGTGTTCGGACGCGTCCTATCCGGCCAGGACCTCTTGAAGGAGATTGAGAACCAGAAGACGGACGCCAACAGCCTCCCGTACGCAGACATTCGCGTGGTGCATTGCGGAGAGGTCAACGAGCAGCTACGAGGTGCAGGTCACGTCGGTTACATGCTGGTCTGTCGTTTCGAGTCTCCTGGAAATTATATTCTTGAAAGATAACCTCGTGACGTCGGCACGTCCATCACCCGAGGTCCACCGGACATTGTGACTCAAACGCTCGCTACCGTGTGCCAACAGGCGAGAACGATGGGCTCCGTACGGGGAGCCGCGACCGCCACTCGTCCCGCTCGGCCTCGTCCCATTCGGACTCGGACAGCGAGGCCGAACGGGGGAGTGGCGTTGCGGGCGCGACTGGTGGGATGCGTAAACGCAAGGCGGTGGATGAGGACGTGGCCTCCAGGGGTGCAGCCTGCAAGCGCCCGAGGCCGGCGCACTGGGCGTCTCGGAGATCTTCCACCGGGAGGTGGGTGACGGCATCGATTGTGTCTGAGCTATCGCACATACGGTACTTGGTCGTCTCTCCCCTACTCCTCCCCGACATTTCTCTCTGTCCCAGCAGCACTAGTACAGTTCGCGCTCAATTATAAATGGGCATATTATCCAGATTGTCGATTGAATTAGCTCATTTGCACCGTTTACAAAAGCACTGATTTAATTATTGGCTGCTCGTCATTCGTTTTGCAGTCAATGCCCACGTGTCAACAAAAACATTGATATAAACATCACTGTCATGCTGAGAATGTACAGTAAACATGTCCTTATATAATATAGGCCAATTTTGTGAATTTTGTATAGAAGTGGAAATATTGCTAAGAGTAGTTTTTATGTTTTTTTATTTCAATCGTTCATGAAGAGGGTAAGTAAACCTTCATATCCATCCACAAATAAACACCTTTTTTACATAAGACAGTGATTAAAAGCGCAATATTCCCAGTACAGCGATAACAATTGTAAAACACACCACTCAAACAATTAAAGGACAGCTTTAGCAGTGGTGTAAAAACACATGCAACAACATTTGGAAAAAGGCGGTTGGCCAAAATGTTTGCTTATTTTTGTGCTGCAGGGCAGTGTTAACGGCGAAGTTGGGGAGTTTGAAACATCGTATTACATCAAAATACCCCCCAGAAAATAATCAGTTCTTCTAGATACATAGGCTTGGTATCCCGGCCTGTCCTACACAAATCTGAGAACAATAACTGAAAGTCAACTGCAGAATTACTGCACTGTAAACGGACTGGCTTTGGCCTTCATGGAAATAGTGGGGTTTTGTTAATGAAAACGGATATACAGGAGCACTCCACTCGTGTATTAACTCAGTATTTCTATACACTGTGTTCGTGGATGCAACACAGTGCAGCAGCCCCTGTCAATGATCCTCTTCGCCTGTCCGGTTCCGTTTGTGAAGCTCGTCGAGCCGCAGCTCCGACGAGGAGCTGTCGTCGCCGAGACGTCCACGCCGCACCGTGCAGCCTGACCTGATCCCCGCCGTGCCGCAGAATAGTTTCCTGCTGCGAGGGAACTCCAAGCCCAAGAGCAGGTAAGCGAGGCATGGGGGTCACCTAACCACCAACCCATCCACCTAACCACCCACCCAGGCACCTAACCACCAACCCATCCACCTAACCACCAACCCATCCACCTAACCACCCACCCATCCACCTAACCACCAACCCATCCACCTAACCACCAACCCATCCACCTAACCACCCACCCATCCACCTAACCACCAACCCATCCACCTAACCACCAACCCATCCACCTAACCACCCACCCATCCACCTAACCACCCACCCATCCACCTAACCACCAACCCCATCCACTTAACCACCCACCCATCCACCTAACCACCCACCCATCCACCTAACCACCCACCCAGCCACCTAACCACCCACCCATCCACCTAACACCCACCCAGCCACCTAACCACCCACCCATCCACCTAACACCACCCACCCAGCCACCTAACCACCCACCCATCCACCTAACCACCCACCCATCCACCTAACCACCAACCCATCCACCTAACCACCAACCCATCCACCTAACCACCCACCCATCCACCTAACCACCAACCCATCCACCTAACCACCCACCCATCCACCTAACCACCAACCCATCCACCTAACCACCCACCCAGGCATCTCCCCACCTACCCAGCCACCCACCTGGCCAACCACCTTCCCACACTCCATGAAAGCACGACACATAAATGCATGATAGAGGGCCAGAAATTGAAACATTTGGGCCCCAATTGTCCATATAGATATCCCTACGAAACTAACTTCCCTCAATTATAGCCAATCTGATCTAGAACTTATCTTCCATATGGTGGCCAGGTTGGGTAAATTTGTTGTATACAATGGTGATGTTTTTTTAGGTTGTGAAATCTTTTACAAATATATTTTTTAAAATGCATCTTTTTTTTTGATCCACTTTTGCAAATTGAGCAATTTTTGATTCATTTGGCCAGAAGTTTTGGTACTTCATAGCAAGAGCCCAACCATAAGAGCAGATAACAGCCCATGGAATGTAGAACTGTCCATCTTCAACCGAGGCAACATGGTTATTTTTACTGGTAGCTGCATTTTTTACATTCACACCTTTGTGATGTTAAACAGATGTTACTCGCCTTGTCACCCCCCACCGCAAATGAACACTTAACTCGAAGCTATATCCTAACATTGACGCAGCCACAACGTGCATTGCACAGCTCAGCTTAATCACATTGACACTATTATGTAGAAGGTGTGGCAAGACAGATATTGCCTAGTGATTTGGTGGGAAATCTTTATACCCAGTTTTGTAAGAATACTAATGTAATGTATTTACCTGCAAACCCTCACGTTACTTTTTAAGGAGGTTTCTGCTTTGGGATGTTGGGCAAATTTCATTTATGAGTGTTGCATAGAGGAAGAAACCAGAGTACCCTGTGAAAAACCACACATAGGTGGGGATAACACTCAAAGGTTTGAACAGACAGTTCACAAACCCAGTTGTTGTACTGGTATTTTTGTATCAATTCACAGCCCAATGGGTTTGAGAGATTCACAGATCTGAGCATGATCTACCAATCATTACCTCTCAAAGTGCTGGACCATGGGCATGCATCACCTGCACACCCATGATCACCTGTAATGCCTTGCACCACTGTGCGATTCACTGTCGTGATGGTTAACGTACCATGACCTCTCCTTAGTGACGCCCTGCCGGGCCGGGGCAAGCCCACCCAACACCAGCCGGCCGTTTCCAAGTCGGGCCGCAAGATCAAGGGGAGGGGCACTATGGTGAGTGATCGCCGGGTCAACATTCCTCTCCAGACAATCTCGTCAGTGTCGTGCCTTAAGACTGTGGAGGTAGTGCCCGCGGCCCCTGACAGTGTTGTGTATCCCTGCGCGTGCGTAGCATTGCCACGGTCCCTGACGCTGCCCTCTCTGTGCTTAGCGTTATCGCACGCCCTCGGGCTCCCGCTCGGAGTCGGAGGCCGTCGCTGGCGAGGTGGAGAGTTGGCGCAGCGAGACCCCCCCGCACTGGAGGGAGGAGATGAACAAGACAAGGAACACGGCACCAGCACAGAGCAGCCAGGGCCGCTGGGCTAAGGGTGACAAGTATGTGGTGGCTGCTGGCACTTGGCACTTGGCACTGCTCGTTATGGAGTCTTGTGTGCTACTCGGTGTATGGATGATCAAGTGAGGTGTCAAAGTTTGTCATCGGCATGCATCAAAGTTTCTCATCGGCAGTGTGGTGGTGTATGGTGGTGCAGCATGGTAACACTACGTTGCTCTGTGTGGTCGTGGTGGTATCTTGTAGCAATGTTCTGTAGTGGAAGCCCAGTGTGACAGTGGAGATGGTGTGTGTCTGGTGGTGTTGTGCAGGGGAAGTGATACTGTGTGGTGGTTTATAGTGTTGTGCGTGTTGGTGGCGTTGTTATGAAGCTGTGAGCTTTCACAGTGATGTAGCTGTGATGGACATGAGGGTGGACATGAGTGACTCTCTTGTCGCGTGCGCTCAGGCTGGCAGAGTACGAGCGCAAGGACGAGCACCGCTCCCCATCTCCCTGGTCGCACGATGGCTATGTGGAGGAGCGCGGCCAGCCAGAGCACAAGAAGAAAAAGACCAAAAAGGCAAAACACAAGAAGAAAAAAAAACACAAGAAGGATTCTGAGAAAGAAAAATCTCCAGCAAAATCCATCGAGCCACCCTCCTCGCAGTCCAGTCTGAGGTCCGATTCCGTTGACAACCGGAAAAAGACTTCACAGCCCCTTCTCCAAACCCCAACAGATTCCAAGGTTTTAAAGAAATCCAGCGACGCCACCGGTAAAACACTCTCGGATCGGTCACGAGATGTCTCGAGTTCAAGGTCACGCTCCACGTCTTTATCACCTTCTTCACGTTCGAGTTCGCAGTCGAGCTCCCGGCTGTGGTCTCGCAGGAGAAGCTACTCCACGTCACGCTCCATTTCCCGCTCGCCGTCCCGCTCACAATCCTCCACCAGACCCCGCCGCTTCCACTCGAGCCGCGGACGTTTCGCCAGGGCTCACCGCGGGTCACGCTCCAGCACGGGGTCGCGCTCGTACTCCAGGTCGAGGTCAAGGTCGCGCCGGCGGTCCTACTCGCGGAGGCGGTCGTGCGGGCGATCTTACTCTCCCCGCGGCCATTCCTCCTACTCCTCGCGCTCTCGCTCAGGTTCACGGGCCAGGGTGGCCCCCTCCACAGCACGGCCAGCTGCTCCCCAAAACCCCGTCGCTGTCAAAGCAGCCGAGATTGCCAGGGTGCTGGCGCCCGTGCTGGTGCCGACGGATGAGCCTGCGGCACCTCTGCCCCCCATGAGTGACAGCCCTCCGCCCTCGCGTTGGAAGCCGGGGCAAAAGCCTTGGAAGCCTTCTTACCTCAACACCAAAGAGTCTCGTGGCAGTGCCGGGACTTTCCCTTCCGTTGTCTGGCACCCTCCGCAGGCTGTCGAGGGCGACAAGCAGACGGCGCCGCAAGCGCCGCAGAAGCAGAGCGTCGCCTTGGAGTCGGAGATTGAACTGGATGGACAGGTGCTGATAGAGGAAGCGCAGGGCATGGAAGGGAAGCACAGTCCTGCGAGGGTGAAGACCGCATCCAGGTCGCAGACGAGATCACGCTCCTCTTCCGTTTCCATGTGCAAGGAGCTCCACATCTCGTCACGCTCCAGGACGAGGTCCCCATCGCGGTCGGACGCGCGTGCCAGCTCCAGGTCTCCGTCTCACTCGTGGTCCCCTGACTACAAAGCCCACTCTCTGTCCAGCTCTACGTCCTCCTCAGACTCCAGGCGTGCGGCTGTACGAGCCGAGCCCACGGAGCCGCAGCGGCCTGCAGTAAGTGGTGCCAAGGAACCTCCCCTGTCCGAAGGGGAGCTCTCACGCTTGTCAAGCCGGCCATCCGACGTGGACTCCGCCTCCAGTGGGGTGGCGTGCCTCAAGCGCAGGAAGAAGCCGAAAGGCCTGAGGAAGAAAAAGAGCAAGAAGAAGAGGTCCCACCGCAAGAAGCAACAAAAGGCAACGAACGAGAGGGAGGGCAGTTCTGCGAGCGCAGATTCAGGCCAAGCTGAATTGTGCCCCTCCCGTTCCAATGGCGACAAGAATACCCGGGCGCGCCCCGCCCCAAGGCCTGTGGGCAACACCGAGAAGGGCAGAGCACATGACAGTCATTCGAAAAAAGATGGCGACAAAAAGAAGAGGAAGAAAAAAGTGGCAGAAAAACCGAAGGGAACGTTTCACTGGCAGCCACCTCTCGAGTACGGGGAGGAAGAGGAGGAAGAAGTGGAAGAATCGCGTGGTGACAGTCTGGTCACAGCAGCTGGCACCAGTGACAAACAGGGTCGAGGAGAGGGCAGAGCTGATGACATGGTGACCGAACAAGTCTCTCGTGGTGCTGATAGCGGTGGTGGTGTAGTTGGAGTGGTGGCGGCGGCAGCGGCGGCGGTGGTAGTGGCCCATCTTGAGGCTCTGAGCAGCACGGACGTGCGCGTTGAAAGTGGAGGTGGCATCCCACCGAGAGTAGTCGGTGCAGTTGCCCCTGTAGAAGAGACTGCTGAGATTACTAAAGAGAAACGCTCAGCGTTGACACCTCCTATTGACGAATCTATTGAGGAGTTTGAGAAACTTGAAAACATGAATGGCGCAAGTGCAGACCCGGATAAGTGTGCTCATCAACTGGAGGCAGCGGATGAGCTCACGGAGTTGAATGTAGCCATGCCAGATGAGGTAGGGCCCATGGACGTGTCACCTTTGAAGGACATTACAGAGCACACCACGGACACCTGTGTTAGAATGTCCGCAGAGAACGTACCAGCCAAGACCTCCGACCCACACGAAAGTGTCTCCCTGTGCACCAAGACGACACCTGAGCCCGGTTGTGAGCTTGCTGGTGAAGGCTCGTCAGCACGCGCAATTACACCAGACGCAGAGGGAGCCGGAGAGTGCGCGAGCAGTCTGTGTGTGGACTCGCGCAGGGGACACAGAGATGCAAGAGACACTCCACGCGAATCTGTCACAGAGCAGCCGAAAACGGTGACGGCCGCCAACGTGGGTGCAGCAGCGAAGACGGAGGAGCGACAAGCAGAAGCAGCAGACAGGGTGGACGAGAGAGAGGAGGATGCGATGAGCCTGGATGAGGATGTGTCGTTGTCAGTGGTGGAGGTTCACGTACCTGCCCTCCAGGTGGAGGGTATCAATCTGGAGCCAGATACTCCTTCACCTGCAGTGTATGTCATCAGTGACGCCGTCCCAGAGACGAGGGCAGTGGCGTCCACCATTTTATCGGACAAGTGGAAGCCTGTGAAGGAAACCCAAGCGGTCTTCTCTGTCGCCACTGCCAAGGCGGAGAGGGCAAACCGAAAGACGCGTGCCGGCATTGGCGCGGGCGGAAAAGCCGTGCTCAGCGGAATGGTTTCTGTCGGCAATCTGAAATGGAAACCTGTGGAGGGACCAAAGATTTACATATCGCCCAAAGTGGCGGTGACCAACTTGCCCGCCAATTCAGCCAGTGCTGGCGTGAAGGAGGAACCTGAAACTCGATCGGACAAAGTGGTCGGCGTGGGTGGGCAGCCCCCCCGAGTGGGTGTGAAGCCAGTGCCGGGCAGTGGAGCCGCGGCACCCACCCGGGAGAAAGCGTCCACAAGGGAATCCTCGCGGAAAGACTCGTTGAAAGTTCTCGACATGATCAAGAAGAAAGCGGTGAAGCCAGGCTCGCTCTTCGACGAGCTCAGCAAGACGATGAAGCAACGGCGACATCAGCGACCGCGAGCCAAGTCGAGCGACGGCTCCAGCGACGAGGAAGACAACGATTATAACGACGATGACGACGGTGGCGGCGGCGGAGGAAGCGGCGGTGACAGTGTCGGCGGTAGAAGTGGCAAGAGGGATGGCAGGAAGCGGCGGAGCAGCAGGCGGAGCTCGAGGCGGCGCCAACGACGGCCGGGGCAGAACAGCGGCAGTCGTGAGAGTTCCAGGAGTCGCAGGGCGTCGCGCTCCAGCCGCTCCAGCAGCTCCGAGTCGCGCTCTCGCAGCCGATCGCGCAGCCGCTCCAGATCCTCGCACGGGTAATGAACCGGCCGTGGGGGAAACGATCGCACGTAAAACCAGTGGATGGTGTAGTGAGGTGCTCCCCCCCTCCACTGGTGGCTCTGAGCCAGTCTTGCAAAATCCACATTCACAAAGCGGTTCTAATTTGATTATTCCCAGAAGGATAATGGACTGAGTTGACCCGTAGCCAGGCTTTTTATTCACATTTCCAATTTGGGAATTCAGCACTATAACCACAGAATTAGGGAGCATACGTAGAGCGGTTACTTAAAAGTACACACAGTTAACTGTTGATTAATCACACTACTGTAATCGGTGGGGATAATTAGGTTTCTCAGTTAATAGAGCAATAATAAGAATTCTATTGGCCATCGAGAAGAAAGAGAAGGTATACTGGTGAGAGAGGAGTGAGTTGGTCGACCTGAGTGAGAGCAGGGACTTGGCTAGGTCCACTAACACACATCAACATACACCCACATCAAATCTTACATGAATACATTATACATTTTCATTGTTTTTCCCACACTGTAATTGCGGCTCTTGAAATATTTAGTTTTTTTACCAAATTCGAACAAGATTGTCTCTTGGTTACCGACCGCTGACCTATAGTCTAGATTTATACCTCTATAAATTAACACAACTGAATATAGAATTGTACCACTGGAGTATCCAAATATTCACCTCATCATAGATACCAGTCTAGATTCAATTATATATCGCAATATATTTATAAACTTGACAAAGACCCATTGTTAATACACTGCTGCATGAAGGCCTCGCCATGCCATGTTCGTTATGGGGGTTGTTTATCAATACTTGACATTGCTGGTTCAGACATCACCACTGATATTAGCCGTAGCTGGGATTCAAACTCAGGATATGCAGGTTCATAGCGCAGAGCATTTGTCACTGTACCACGAAGGAGTCTATGCATTCACACCGCTATAGATTCACACTGTAGATTTTACATGCACATTCTATGCTGAAGATTGTTTTTTGTATCAGATTGTGACCCCCGTATAGAGCCAGTTCATGGACTTGGGCAGGAACGAATTGTTGAATTGTCGCTCCCGGCGTGGTGCAGGTCGGGTCGACGCCACGTGGGCAGCAGCCGAAGACGCGTGCGGGGACGCAGCCGGAGGAGTTGGAGCCACGCTCGCTCGTGGAGAAGCTTATCCAGCTCTGACCGCAGCTACCGGCGCCGCAGGAGGTTAAGTGGGAGGGGTCCGTTCAGGTGGAGAAAGTGGGTAGTAGGATCTTGGAGTGTGGTAATAATATGCTTTCCAGGTATAATTGTCCACTCAGCTACTTCTTGTTGCTTCGTGAAGCTGCAGACCTTTGTGACCCCTTTATCAGCCATCGCTGATCAGCAAACGAGCAATAAACGGTGGCTAGGACGCAATACGGACTGTTGCGGTTACACGCTGTACTTGTTGTGGGGGTGTCAGGAGATTTAATTTTCCTGACATTTAATGCACAGTTTGCCACCTTTGTAAAAAAAGTTAAGGTTTTTGTTATACAATGTTCAGTTTGACTACTGTCCAAGGGTGTTAGCTAATTTTTTTTCTTTCCATAGACGAAGCAGATTCAATGTGGGTCAAACAGTCTTGTAGTGTGCGTCAAAACGCGTCCAAAGCGATTTGTGGCAATTGTAACTGTTCATGGGTAGATTTAATTATTTAGCCCCTGCGACTATACTATACTTTGCTGCCATCTGACCCTCGACGATGAGCTATAGAACCCAGAGTGTGGGCCCAACGTCAGTGCTGCTGGTGGCGGCAGTGAGACCAGGATTCGTAAAGTTGGTCCTCGCAGAATTCGGTCCACTGCTTGGATCCCGCACCTCCGATTAGCATCGGTGGCCATGTACGGTGCGAAATAATTTCAACATGCTTAGACTAGCTTCCGAAGGGGGACCCTGGTATTGATAAGGAGCGCGACGTGAATGTAGATACATTACCCCCCAAAACGGATAAATGTGTCTATGTTGTGTGTCTCTCTCTGCTTGTGTGTTTGTGTTGTCTCTCTCTGCTTGTGTGTCTGTCTGTGTGTCTCCGTGTCTGTGTTTTGTTTCTCTCTAAAATTTTGTTCTACCTGATGACAGTTGCTTGTGCTGCAATCGAAACGTCGGACTCTATTATTTAATTTATTTTCTTTCTCCGTGACTTTACCGAAAGAACCAAAGGGATACCTAGTTCTTGAAAAAAAAATGTTTAAGCTTGCATGGTGGCTTGTAATTCACCATTTTTGAGGTGTGGGTTAAAGGATTATGTTGAGATTTGTGCAACTCTCAAACTTTGCTGGCATATGAGTGTCCAGGAGATGGCAGGACAGCAAGCAGATCCTTGACCTGTCTGTACAGAGGATCTTTTGCGTGTTCTCCATTATGCGAGTGGCGGGTTTTCCCCTCGGTACTTCGGTTTCCTCCAACGCGCGCGTGTCGCTGTCCCCGCAGGTCGTACAGCCGCCACTCGAGGTCACGGTCTCGCAGCCGCTCCCACAGCCGCCGCAGCCATTCGAGGTATCGAGTTCTCGCTAAAACTCGCTCGTCAATTACCGGCACCACAGCACCACAAGCAGCAGCCGCCACCACACCAGAGTGACAACATTCACCGAATGCACTGGCAGCACCCACATCAACATAGCACGAATGCCAGCATGGAAATTGGAAAACGCTGTCACCACACTTGCAAGCACTCACAGCACCGCACGGCATGCTCATGAGCTGCACCGCGCCAATGTGACCTGTTAACTCAAAGCCATTGTTGGTAAACTGGGGCTTGAACACCTTTAAAAGAGCCCCATGAATTGATCTGGCCCTGTAGTGATGTCCCACGGCCCATGTGCATTGCTGTCATGTCCACAGTGCACATTGTGATCCAACATAGTCGTTACTTTGGTCTTGTAAACACAAAGCCCTGTGCGCTCTGCATATTTAAGTAATGTAGCTTGTGCACGCACTGTTCCGATAATTTGTGTAGACAAACAACATTGCACTCTGCTCTTACCAAGAGCGAGTGGTTGTGCCGTTGCATTATGAGTAAAGAGAATGGGAAGGGTCACCCATGCCAGTTATATCTCCAGGTTCATGAATGTTGAAGCTTGATATCACTCTCAAGCTCGGCTTGAGCAGAAATGATTTTTGGCCCAAACCACCTGAAGACAGTACCTGACATTTATGAGGTTCTGGTGATGATTATCATATTGGTGGCGATGAATGAGAGGTTGATGAAGTTGGTAATAGAGGGAATGCTGATGATGATGAAAGTGTTGAAGATGGTGATGAGGATGGTGATATCTACATGGCAGCGTTGGCATGGTGGCTAGTAGGCATGGCCATGATGATTGCTCATTACGATAATTATACATGTATAGAATCACGCGTGTGACATTGCCTATTTAATATTCATCGAAATTATTAGTGTTACATTTATGCCAATGAAATGAACAATGCTTTACTAATTAGATGAAATTTTATTTAAACAATACAAGTGAGGTGGTAAAAACGAGAATTGATAAATATCTTCATCTAGTGCAGTGGTTATTAACCTTTGCTGCAGCCTTGTACCTCTTTGGTTCTCAATCATAAACAAATTATAATGTTATTATATACATAGGTTTGATGAAACAAAGTAGTTGTATTCTAGAGTTGAAGTTTTCGTGACTGCAAGGGTCCATACTCTTTGGTTTTTTCGGTCAAGTCACGTAGGTAAAAAAGAAAATAATTAAATTAAATCACGCCGTTTCGGAGAGAACACAGGTGGAACCGTCACAGCAAAATTACTGTATATAAAAAAAACTTGCCCGTGCTTAATTTGTGTTTTGATGAATTACCATCTAAATAAATCTGGCATGTATCGCACCCCCAGGGGGTGCGTGCACCCCAGGTTAAAAAAACACTAATCTAGTGGTTAGTATAGTCACTACATTCCCAATCAGCAGGATCTACCTCCACCCACACTCGTGGTCATGGCCCCCAAATACTCTTCTCATTTTGAGATACCCCTTCATGCTCCATGTCAGGTTTAGCACAAAAAGACGACACAAAACGCAAATAATTCTTAACTTTTAGATCAGCACCTACAATGTGTCCCAAGTTGTTCTGCACGAGTTGGAAGCTTCAGGAATGAGGAAAACACTTTCAAAATTAGAGGCACGCTATTATTGCTCTGTAGTGACATGGCTGTAACATTACTCCCATATATTTAAATTAATTGGTGGAGTGATGTTCCAGGATTCTGCCAATGTAGACACTTTTACTGTAACTTTGAAGTGTTTTTTTCCCAGTAACAAAGCTTTCAACCTTTGTAGATCAGTCTAGCACACATAATATTAGTATGTAGCTACAAGGTAAGAGCTGCTTGAGCAAATGCTCCTGTCGTTCAGTATTTGGGAGCCTTTGTCTTTGCCCCCCCCCGCGCCCCTGGTCACGTGCTTGTGCGCGTGTGCACCGTCATGACTGACTCGCACCATCTCTCCCCAGGCGCTCCTACTCCTCCCGCGGCAGCTACCGCAGCACGAGCCGGGGTCGCGGCCGCCGCAGCTCAACCTCCGACAGCGACAGGTCACGGTGCGTGATGGCACGACGCATTCCTCCACACGCGCTTCCACATCACACACTGATAGCAGAGCAACTTTTGAACTCGCTCAGCCGATCGTCAATACTGTCTGCAGTGTGTCTGCGTGTGTGTGTGTGTTCATCGGGGAGCGGTAGTGTAGCGGTTTGCGTGCTGCGCTACAAACCTGGCGACCCGGGTTTGATTCCTGCTCAGGGCCAACATCAGTGACGATTATCTGAACCGGCCCTGGGCCTCCCCTCGGTCGACTCAGCCTCAAAGGAGTATCTGGTGTGATGTATAAACATCGCCAGTAGGGCGACAAAGGCGGCCGGGCGTGGTGTTGGCCACCCACCCCCTCGTGTGCCGTGCCGGCCTTTATAGGTGCTCGCTAACAGCACTTGCCCCTACAGTCTGTTAAGGCTATACGGGGATCTTTGTCTTTGTTCATCGGAGCTGTGGCACAGCGGTTAGCGTGCTGCACTGCACACCGGTGACCCGAATTCGATTCCCACTCACGGCCAACATCAGTGACAATTTTCTGAACTGGTTTTGGGCCTCCTCTAGGTCGACTCGGCCTCAAATGAGTACCTATTGCAGTGTGTAAACATCGCGTGGTGCTGGCCACCCACCACCTTGTTTGCCGTGCCTGCCTTCATAGGTGCTCGCTAATAGCACTTGACCCTACAGTCTGTTCAAGCTATACAGGGGATTTTTGTCTTTGCTCATGGGTACACGAGTTTGTGGGTGGGTGAGGATTTATGTGAGTGGCTGTGTGTGAATGCAAGTGTGTGTGTTTGAATCTGTATCCGTGGCTATGTGTGTATGTTTGTGCATGTGAGTAGCTGTTATGGCATTTTTTGAGTGGGTGTATGTGGGTATGGTAGTGTTTGTACTTGTGTGTTGAAAGAGGTCATGCAGTGGTTGTTGCACTGCACTACAAACCCAACGACCAAAGTTCACTGGCCGCTTCAATCATTCGCTTTCAGCATTTCAAATATTCACCAGGATACTCTCGAAACCATCCACTGGCTCCATTCACCAACCTCAACATGAATATATAGACATTGCCAGTCTACTCCTCAGCATACAGTGGAAGAAGATGAACAGCACTTCCCCCAACAGTTTGTAATGCTGAACAGATGCGATCTTTGCGTAGACGCATGGATGTTTGGTGATGTGAGGCTCTGAGGGTCTATGGGGAAGCGATCTCCACCCCAATCCGCTGTACCGTGCTCTGCGATGAGGTCTCGCTGTTAACCTGTGCCTCTCGTTCCAGAAGGAGCAGGACCCGCTCACGCTCCCGTTCTCGCCGGACATCGTCGCGTTCGTCCAGCGGCAGCGGACACGGCTCCTACAGCGGCAGCGCCAGTGCGAGTAGCCGCTACAGCTAGGACGAGCGCGGAGTCAGAGGAGCTGGAGGGTTTTAGCGGGTGCCGTTTGGGTTCCGTGTGGGAGAGGGAAAATATACTCCGGGCGAAACCGTGCCTACACCGCAGCTGGTGTGTAAAGTCAACGGGAACTACATCCTTGAGAGTTGCACCACACCGTGGGGGTCGCACTGCGGCGCTTGTGCCACCAGGTTAGATGCACAACAAGCAGGTGTCCGCCACAAGTAACGTACATCGCGAGAGACTGAGCACTGCACCCTGGCTGCGACGATCTTGCGCCGTGCCCTATGCAGTCGCACCACTCCTTGCGGACATTCACACAACACTCTGGGCACAATTACGCCACACCTTTGACAACCACTTGCTCGCGATACCCTGCGGACAGCCACATCACACGATGGGTGGAATGCATTAGCCTGCGCGCTGGAGTCGCACTCGAACCAACGACTCACGGCGCAATGATATCCATGCAGTGATGATGCTGCTGTGATGAGAAAAGTTGGATCACACGTCAAAGCTCTCCTTTCAGTAACAATGAGGGCAGTAGAGGTAAAGGGAAAGTGTCTTGATGTTTTTTTTTTATAAATGCTGAAACAATATTAACATCTTGTAAAATTCAAGGCACTGCAAATGATTGGTGGTGGTGGTGGTGTGTAAAGGGTGAGAAGCAACAAAGTGATTTTACAACTCGAGGAAATGTTTCAAGAATTGTAATTTTATAGCAGCCAAGTTCATTACTTTGTCACAAAGTAACAATTATCACGGGGGGAAAAACTCACGGGGTTTGCTTCTCCACCTTGTTCCTGCGTTTCATAAAAGCCTCAAGTTCTAAACGTCAACGCCGCTTCAATGCTGCAGACAAGGTCACTTTCCCTGCCCGATTCGATGCCAGTGCAAGCGTTAATCATGCACGTGACTTGATTTGTTTCGACCCAGTCTCAATGCCAACCGTGGAACGCTGCATCATGCGCCGTCATTCCACGGCTAGTTTATGAGGCTGCTGATGTTCTGAATGTATTGCTAGACTCGGTGAGCAAAAAAAAAGTGAGACCAGTGTAAAATCTTGTTTCCTTTGCAGGTGATGTTGGCCAACATTGTAAAATGCCAATGTAGATCAACATTACTTAATTTGGAGCTTTCGTGACTGCAGGAATTACTCTTTGGTTCTTTCGGTAAAGTCAAGTATAAAAAGAAAATAATAAATTAAATACTAGCATACGATGTTTCGATTGCAACACAAGCAATCATCATCAGGTATAAATGAAATAGAAACACAAATCTAGTATACAAGTCTGTTGTATTACATTACATTTCTAAGTATACTAGATTTGTGTTTCTATTTCATTTATACCTGATGATGATTGCTTGTGTTGCAATCGAAACATCGTATGCTAGTATTTAATTTATTATTTTCTTTTTATACTTGACTTTACCGAAAGAACCAAAGAGTAATTCCTGCAGTCACGAAAGCTCCAAATTAAGTATAGATCAACATTGTCAAATGCCAATATAGGCGAGGCAAGAATAGGTTAAAAAATTTTTGCAGCGGTCATGCCAAGTCTTGTCTGACAGCTATAGTTTAATGTCATTAAGATTGGGAGTAGTAGCCGTGGACTGAAGTGTGGTGAATATAGGCACACTGACAGTACATTACGGTGATATAATTATTCTTGTAATCTGTTACTTGATAAAAAACAACTTTGTATTCACACTAATAACACAACTGAATTTATTGCATCTAGCACACAATATATTGTATGTACATACACGTATGTACTGTATGTTACGGATAGCTGGCCTATTGGGCCCAGAACAACTTGAGTCTTTTAAATTTGAGAATAGTTTCCAGTGTGTGTTAATTCTGTTGGGTGTACTGTACTTTGTTGTAAATTCACCAACACCCTCAGCAGAAACCTCGTTTTCCTCTTTTGAGTGTTATCCCTGCATATGCTTGGCATTTCTCCAGCTCCTCTGGTTTCTTCAATGTCTGGCTTTTTCATACTCAGTGAAAGAGTTAGACTTTCCTAGCAGGCTTCCTAAAAAGTAATTTTTGACTGGGTGAAGACTTTACTGGGTAAATATTAATTATTACTGAGCATCCAACACCATCTCCTTACGGTGGGATGATAGGAGGTACTTTTCTAGCTGAATCTTGTCACATTCTGATATTTGTAAACGTACTCGTGCTTTGTTTCCCACAAACGGAAACATACATTTGGTTTCTGGAGAGTATATTTTTATCACTTGGAAAGTTAAATAGAGGCTAGCTGTGGGTGTGATGCACGCTTACGTTGATGCCTTTGGTGACACTGCGAGTAAGAACGTTCAACACTGCCCTTTGTAAAAAGTTTGAACAAAAAATCTACACAGAACATGAACCTTTTCGGCTGCTGTAAATAAATATGAACAATAATGGTGTTGGTTTGTGAAACTTTTTCTCTGTGGTGCTGCTATCATCACTTGCACACATTGCACAATCACAAAGGCAAAATGCAATTCAGTTGGAGTGTCAGTGGTCCCTTTCCTTAAAAAAAGTAGGCCCCCAAATGAATTTCAATTGCCCTTATTCGTATCATACGATTAAAGAAATGTCCATTCCGAACCCTGAAACTGGCAGTTTTAGCCGTGTTAAAGAACATCATAGGAAAATGATTTCACAGACTAATTCTCAAGTCACTTCAATGTGCCTCTATCCACAGCAGGGGGTTCCGCCTTTAATATACCACAAGTGTCGCATGTCAAAACATTAAAGTCTTACAACTAGAACTTTGCCAAATAAAGTGACGAACCAAATTCCAGTTTTTTTGTGAAATCAGTGACTGCACTGACAGTAACTGGCCACACTTGACAACCGATTTTGGTCACGGGTAGCTTTAACTTCAATCCAAACCAGAATCTTAACGGGGCCAGCTCGGTTTCCTGGGCCACCTCGGCGCTACTTTTCTTAAGAAAGTTCAAAATCCAGCAATGACCAACCCAGGCCACCCTCAAAGTTATTTGGAGATACTGTGTCCCGTCATAAGAATGATAATTATTTTCTTATGGCTTGGGATCTACAATAGAGATGATCATTGCTTGTTTGAGCATTAGAATGTCGATTTAATTAATATTCCTGGAGTGCATACACTATAGTTGACATTACACGGTTCACTGGAGTTGTATTTTTTTTTGTACGAGACATGAAGCTGTTTATAACTTGAGTTTGAACGTGTCCTGAGTGAAACCAATTTATCTCCCAAGCCATAATTTTTCAAAATCCAAATGAGAACATTTGTTTTTTTTGTTCTAAATACTGTATAGACTCGACTGCAGTTGTGCCAAATGTCAGCTCTCTAATCCCTCTGAAATACAATTTACATCAGTCAGTGAATAGGTCACAGTTGTCTAAGTGTAACAAAGGACTTCCACGACGATTCTTGTTTGGTGCTGCTTTATTTTACGATGTTACAGCGCACGGCTTCGCTTTTCCCTCTCCGGTGGTGTCCCTCTTCCAACCCCGTGGACGAAGCGTCGTTCCTCCTCTCTCTCCGAGCTCCCACGAGGCTCACTCCGCTCTCCCGGCCTCGCCGCCGGCTGACGGCGCGCTGGAAGCGGAGGGGAGCTCCGAGGAAGGATCCGTCACGTGGCGGTCTGGAACCCCAGTCTTCCCACACCGACCTCGAGCCTTGCCCCTGATCCCCCTTATATCCTCCTCGGCGGAGCTAAGCCCTGCCTCTGGCGGAACCTTCTCGAGGGTTTCCGAACTTCTCTCAGCAACCCCGCCCGTCCTCTCTGGCCCGATCATATCCCCCCTTCGGATTGGATGCCGATGACATCATGGTGCCCCCTGGATGGCGCTCTCTCATTACATAAGTACCGTATAACAGTCTTTTCGTGGAATCAGCTGTTCAGATCCATTTGATATACACAGTAAGAACTGGGTAAATATATATTTTTTAATGCAGCCTTTTAATCCACACATGGATGAACCTGACATCAGCCGGTTGCTTAACTACAAAAGTTTGTCCACGGTCATACTCTACCACACCACAATACCGTATTTGGCACGTGGGTGGCATCTCCCTATGGAACATTCACAAGGCGATTATTTAACTTGGTTTGAAGAGCAATGAAGCCATATTTATGCATATTAAAACAATGCGTTCATCTGATATCACAAGACTTGCATTGTTATTGATGCGTTTATTAGACAAGCAGACTTTGCACACGACCATTAAAGGAAAACATATTTGATTTGTTTGGTTCATGCACTCCCATCAAGATTGGGTTTTAACCATTTGAGGGTTTTTTACTCTTGTATCTTGCTGTGAGAGCCGGACAGGCCGTGTGTCACCACCCCACACTGTACAGTGCGACGACGCGTGCCTAAACCGTGAACACAATGAGATGCTTTGTGAGCCGTGATGGCTCGCCTCTACACTTCATTTGAAAATAAGCCTACCGAAATAACCAATGTGTCTATGAATTGTCCAGCAAACTGACATTAAATACAGTTTGCAAGTGCTCTGCAACAACATCTCGGAGAAAATCACATTCGCAGACAAATAATATCACAATTAGACTTTTTATTTGATTTATCATCAGTTATGTTCCGTTTGTGCTGTTGGGAGTAATGTGGTCATTAGGTGAACACGTATTTTTGCTGAGCTCCGAAGCGCTGCATCACATCACTTCAACGAACGTACCTGGAAGACCACCCGTCGACCTCTGACTATTTCTCTGGACTCTCAGTGAGACCGCTTCATGCTCTGTGAATCATGGTTTGCCACTCGATATTCAGCTATTAATTTTGACTTCATACATTTTTATCCCCGAGAATTGAATTTGACCAAATGGCGCAGATTCTAATTTGATTTGACTGTATTAATCAGCGAATGGGCTGAGACCATCAACTCGGCACACGCGAAAAATCTCGTGAAATCATGGGTGGTCCGGCTGAATTCAAACCCAGTGGCTGATTCCATAAAACACCTCAAGTGTGAATTTTCCCGTTTGCTCGTAAAAGGAGCATAACACGAAAAGGAACGTTCACTTGATGGATTTTGTATTAACGGCCACTGAACCCAACCCGTGCGGTCCCAGTGCCATGACGCATCTTAACGAGCGATCGTCTCACTCCCGACACCGAATACGCGGGCTCAGAGTGGACATTGTGGACATCGTCCCCCTCCCCAACCCCTACCACACGAAGCCCAGCCTCTTCTTGTCCTGTGCCACGTCTCCGCTGCTGTAGAGCTCCTTCACCTCCTGCGCGTCGGCACGAATGGCGCCGCGCCCGGGCAGCGGGGGGCCCTGTCCCCCCGCTGCGGCCGCTCGGACCAGCGGCAGGGGGTTGCGGCCGCCAGTGCGCGCCGCGTCGATGACGCGTAGCGCGTACTCCTGGAAGCGTCGCTCCTCCTCGGCAGCAAGCTCGGCGTCGCGCCGCTCGCGAGACCGGCTCTCGCGCCGCGCCGCCTCCTCCGCCGCACGGCGCCGGGTCTGCGGGTGGGCAGCGAGTTTATGGGCGAGGAGTGAGTGTGCGAATGGCGAGCAGCGGTGTGTCTGCGAGCGGTGGGTGCGTCCGCGGGCGGCGAGCCAGTCGGTGAGTGTGGCGCCCACCATTTGCTCCACGTGGACGTCTTTGAGCTGGCGCGACTCCTCCGCCAGGTGCTGCTCCTTGAGCCGCTGGCTCTCGGCAAACAGGAGGTCGGCCTCCGTGCGGGCGCGCAGCTCTTCCAGCGCACGCTGCCGCTCGGCACGCTGCTCAGCTGCCTTCTCCTTCATCTGCCGGCAGGGGCAAAGAAGCGAGGACAAGAAAGTGTGAAAGAAGAATCGGTGGCGAAGAAAAGAAGTGAGGTTGAAGAAACGAGAGGCGAGACGCAGGGTGAATATCAATGCGCATTGGTGTGTTATCTTCCTCCTAGATCCTCATTCGTGATGGGGCCAAGTTGACCCTGGCTAATATTTGACCTCACAAGCTCACTATTGGGAGCCTGGTGTTCCATCAAAGGTGTGTACCAACGTAGAAATACGCTTTGCTTTCCAATCTAATTGGTTTCTGGATGAGCCGTCTGTCTGGCCATGTGGTGATGTGGATAGAGCGCTCAAATCATCAACTGCAATGCAAGGATCGATTCAGTCCCATCATCCCCACAGGGTTGAAATCTATGGTGACTCTTACCCCACCACGGGAATGTGGGACTTCCACCGCTGGCTTAGAGCCACCAATGGGGATAAGCGTCACCTGAAGCTCATTTGATTGGGGAGACAATTTTATGCCGACACTGACCTCTGGGTCACAGTTGTGTCACAGTCTCCAGTTGGCAGGTGGATGGACTGTACCAAATGGCAGCAGAGGATGCCAATACCACGTGCCAGCACGGTGTGCTGATGATACCGCATGGCTCCATGTGGTACTAGTGCAGTTCGGCAGTACCACGTGGCGTCGGTCCTGTACGATGCCAGTACTACGAGGACAAAATAATATTTCGTGCCAGTATCGTGGTTGTGCCGGTAGGTACCGCCGTCAAATAGTACCATGTGGTGGCACCATGACGGTGTCATTACCATGTGGTGGTGCCAGTATTACGTGCTATTGCTATCGTGCGGTGCCAGTTCCTTGGCGGTGCTATTGGTACCATGTGCAGCCGGCATCATGGTGGTGCCGGTCTCACTGTGCCAGTACTGTGGTGGTGCCAAATCCACGTGCTATCGGTTACCGCGTTGGTGCCGGTGCCATGATGGTGCTGCTCGTACCGTCTGCTGCCGGTGCTGAGCGATGGAGAGCCGTGCTGCCTGCGCCCTCTCGTCCTTCTTGCGCTGCTCCTGCTCGCAATGCGCGTCCTGCTCGGCCACGGCGCGTGCCACCCGCTCGTCCTCGTCGTTCACGCGTTGCTGAATGTGTGCCGCCAGCAGCTCGGTAGCGCGCTCCCGCTGCGCCAGCTGCTCCCTGCCACACGGAAGGGAGGGGGTTGGGTCGGGGTGGTGGGACAGGATTGTGCAATGTCTTCAGTGACATAGCGTCGAGCATGGCGGCAGTGGTGATTGTCTCGGTGATGGCGGCGATGGTGGCTGCGGCCAATGTTACCGCAGTATCTCTTCCTCCTTTTGTCGCTTCAGCAGGTTGATCTTGTGCTTGGCCGCAGAGTGAACGCGAATTCGCTTGTCCTCCTCCGCCTGGCGCTCTTGCTCCTTCGCTCTCAGGCTCTCTTTAACTGCCATGTGTTCCTGCAGAAGGATGGCAAGGCATTACGGTATCGGTGACTTAACACATACATCTAACACCTAACAGATATGCACGCTTTCTCAGCCACTCACGGTCTTCTCATGTCCCAGTCTTCATGCGTCTCCCTGTGTCCCCGGTTCACCGTTTGTCCCCGTGTCAACCCCGTGGCCCCCGTACCCTGTGCGCCTTCATGATGTCCTTCTTGTCGCGCTCGCGTAACTCGCGCACGACGCGCTGCTCCCACATGTGAGTGCGAGCGAGTCGCTCCATCTCGCGCGTCTCCTCTCGCGCCTCCATCAGGGCTCGCTCCACCTCGCGTCGCTGCTCCTCCACCCTGCGGGGTGGAGAGAATGGGAGAGCTCAAGCCATCGGCGCGAGAGTGAGTGGCGGGAGGAGCTCGGGCCCTCGACAGATGAGTGGGGCGCTCAGTCTGTCTAAACTAAATTGAAAACTAAACTTAAAATGTTTTTCATAATCAACGATTTTTGGGTTTAGATCGCGTTTATTTATAAATGTGTCGTAACCCTCCACCACCCGACACGGCCAATCAGTAAAAAATGTGTCACGTTGACAAAGACAAATAGTTCACTGCTTTAGCCCACCGGTGTGTTGAAGCAACAACATTCACAATTAAAATGTTTCCAGGTAAGGCCCACTGAGCCGTATAGCTCTTTTTCAGAAGCGACCTGGCCACCACAAATGGTCGCTCAACGAAGTGGCTCATCACGTGGCTCTCATCATGTGTCGATGAGAAATTAGTGGACTCGGTCCCTCGGCCGAGACACCGGGGGTCTGTGTAAGTCCTCACTGCTGCTTCTGAGCCTCCGCGATGCGCGCTGCCACCTCGGCTCTCTCGGCGGCGCGGCGCTCCTCCTCGCGCTGCGCCTCCTCGCGCTCGCGGCTCGACGCCTGCACCCAGTCGCGCTCCCGGGAGCGGCGCGCCGACTCCACCCGGCCCTTCAGCTCCAGCTGCGCCTCCCGCTCCTTCAGCGTCTCCGTGAGCTGCAGGGCGCTCTGTGGGTACGCGGGCACAGGCACACGCCGTTACAGCTCCCGTGTTCGCACACGCATATGTGTGCAATGTTGTACGAATCCGGGTAAGGCGTGCGCATTTGCTGGTGACCTGAATTTCATTCTCGCTCATGCTCAACATCAGAGGTAAATATCTGAAGCTGTCTCAGGCATCTGCTAGATCGAATAAGCTTCAAATGAGTGCTTAATTTTGGGTTGTAAACATCAGCATTGGGGAGAAAAAAGCCAGCTGGGCATGGTGCTGGCCACATCTTCTACTTCCGTGCCATCCCGGCCCTTATAGGGCCTTGCTAAAAGCATTAGTTCCAACAGTCTGTACAGCTATAGTGGAATCTTTGTCTTTGTGTGAGAGTGGGTGAGTGCCTGTAAGATTAGGTTAATGATGGTGTGTTCACTCTAAGAAGGTGAAATTTACAAACATTTCTAAATCTGTCACAACCTAAATGAGCCTCAAAAACTGTTCAACCCAAAATCACTGACAAGGGTTCTGATAAAGTGTACTCTCCCTATCAATGACGCTGCTATCTCGTCGCGGTTGAAGTACACGCATTCTCCTCACACTCACACGATATTCTCTCATTTATACTGTGTATCGGTTCCACCCGAGTGCCCAGTTTAGCAAAAAAATAAAGTTAGACTACAGCTCAAATGTGTCTTACAAATTAGTGGACACAAATGGGGAATGGCTAGTTTTGAGTCTAAATAAAATTGCATGAATATGTTCATGCATTTACGTCAGTTATTTACTGAGAAAAGCTGCAAGAATAATTTATCGGAGGGGATGTTTGGCCAATACTATTAATGAGTGTTACACTTCTTCTGAGAGTACTGGGAATTGACTGTGAAACTTTGAAGTTCAAAGTTCCCCTCCAAATACTCCATTTCTCCCCTAAACGTTTCCCAGATTATAAAACTATTCCTAACTCTCATTTTACAGGAATTAGAAGAGTTTAGAACTTTTAAAAAGTCACAAGATACAAATAATAATTAGTGTTGCCACCACCTCAACCCGTAAAATTGACATGACAATTTTTTTTTGCACATTAGACCCTTACGATGAAAACCACTCAGGTAAGTTCTTTGACGGAACGACTGACAAAGTTTCTTATTATATACCGATTGGTGCCCATTGTAGTCTAACACCACTACCAGCTAGAATGTACAACTGCATCTCGACTGAATCTCGAGACTCAAAGACTGGTCAGAACATTGCAACTCATAAAACCAAGGTCCACTAGGTCACTGACTCCAGCTGAAAATATGCACACGTGGGTTCACGTGGCCCCAAGAAACTCAGGAGCATTGCCTCCCTCTGCTGATAACTATGATAAGGGTGGCAAAAGATGTAGGCTAAATCGAGCACTAAAGGTGGGTACAATGTGACACAATCAGAACACGAGATGTAATAAATAAATAATAAGGTGCCTTTTTTTGAAGCCTCGCCTTTGCTGGAACACATTTAGATAAGCTCTTATAACGTCTATCTTATCCGCTCAGGTATACAAGGCCTGCAATAGCACAGCATAAACGTCAGACCATAGATCTCGAGGCTTCATGAGACGGATGATTTTAAAATAAAGGTCAGGTTTGGCCACGGAGGCACACGAGCACTATGCAAGTGTGGCCAATGAATTTGAAGATATGCATGTATTTTCAAGCTGAAAGTATTTTAAAATGTGCATTCTTCCAATACAGGGTTTAATGATTTCTTCATATATATCCAAATATATATTGTCCACACAGGTTCATAATCGAGATGTGAAATGATCATTGTGGTTATAGCTGCTCTAATCAGGAACACAGTTAGATTTCGATTTAAAGCTTTCGTGACTGCAGGGATTCATCTTCTTGGTTCTTTCGGTAAAGTCACGTAGAAGGGAAATAATAAAATAATAAAAATAAAACAGACCTGGTCTTCACCTGAGGACGGCTGCTTGCGTTGTGGCCGAAACGTCGTGAGAATTATTTTACTATGTTTTATTTTTATTATTTTACTATTTCCCTTCTACGTGACTTTACCGAAGGAACCAAGAAGATGAACACAGTTAGAATTAACATCAGTCAGGTAGTCAGCTCTATTAATACCCTTTGTCAGTAAGTCAAATGCATCCAAACTCGAAGTCGGCTGTTTCACGTGCGTGGCCATTGCGTGCATGTGCACGTGCGTGAGCAACGTGCATGTGCGTGCGTGAGCAACGTGCATGTGCGCGTGCGCGTGCATGTGCGTGCGTGAGCAACGTGCATGTGCACGTGCATGTGCGCGTGTGCGTGAGGAACGTGCATGTAAGCCGCGGACTCGCTCCGTCTGGTGGTACTGCAGCGTGCGCGCCCTCTCCAGGGCCTGGCGCCGCTGCTCCGCCTGGAACTTCGCTTCCTCCACGTCCAGGCGCTTCCGCGCTTCCTCCTCTTGCTCCTTGCGCAGCGTGAACGCCGCCAGCTTCTGGTCCCGCTGAGCCTGTATCCCCACAGCAAGCGGGCGCCACCGCACAGACAAGACACCTGAACAAAAGCCCTGGAGTGGCAAGGTAAAGGTTGCAGCCCAGCAATTCCTTGCTCGTGCTCCTGCTGGTGGAAGGGTCTCCACTACACGGAGCTATGTAGAGACTATCTCGGGGGTATTTGGCATATTCTTCCATACTGGCCACGTGTCTTCGAAGAGATGGGTGTACCCACACTTTAACACACAACCTTTTTAACAAAAAAAAAAAACTTTTTTAAGAATAACAATGCTCACGATTTCCCCATTGAGTCTCGAGGCTGTTAATGAGTGTTGGCTTCGTGTGGGCGGAAGCCAGAGAAAACTCGCCACATATACTCGTGGGGAACACTCAAATGCTCCACATAGATCCATGAATCCACTGCTGAACTGCCATCTCCTAGCGACCTCGCAGGTCTAACACAACTGAGAAATGTGGAAATGTTTTTGAAGTTAGGCAGGCTGACTAGTCATTGGGGCCCATGTTGATTAGCTATGGGGCCCACGAGGGCAATTCATTGCCTTGCCCTTCCCTGTCACAGAAATGGAGGAGCAGATGTCTCACACCTCCTAGATCAATATGTGCTCCTATCACTGTGTTTCCAATTGTATGTAGAAGAAATTACTCCACTTACACAACTATAAAATATCCTTTGAGTTCTTGACTTGCATAGGAATATTTAAAATTGTAAATATGCATTCATGTCATGAATTTTACACATTAAATCGAAACAAACAGCACTTATTCCAGCAAAATGCTCCAGGAAAACTCCCATTATGCACACATTCATGATTCACATTTTTTCATGTACAGTACTGTACGTTGTTTTTGCTCAAATGTATATTTAGTATTTGCAAATTATGTACAAACGATGTAGTGTAATGTTGTTTACGTACAGTGTTGTGTTCAGATATTGCCAGTTACAGCCTTAATGTGTACACAAGCGTACGTGCATTTTGTAACTTTAAAGTCTCCACCTTCAACTGTTTCCTAAAATGAGTAACAGCCTCCTATTATTCACGAAGCCAGAGTCCTGGGCAGTAATGTGAACGCAAGAGTTGCGTCTGTAATTGGAAACCAATGCTTCAAGGCTGAACTTGGCATCTCTGATGACGTCTCATTTCCACGGCGAGCGAAAACAGCGCCAACTCGGTGCTGGCTGAGCGCAGGGCAACAGAGCGCCCGTGTCCCCATACCGGCCCGGCCCGGCCAACCTGGACCATCAAGGGGGCTGGAGAGGGCTGAGCCCTGCCCCACGAAGGTTAAAGCACCCCCCGCCTGCTAACTCTAAAAGTCAAGTAAAAAGCATTCAGTGCAAAAATGTGGGCAATTGTATGTAATGTATGTTCAGAATAAAAATATTTATACTGGAGGAATCCGATGAGCTATAGAGCTCATTTTCATTTATGTCCAGTAGAGGCACAAACAATACAAAAACATGATCGTAGTGTAAAGTACAAGAAAGAAAAACAAATCACCCAAACACGTACAACTACAACTAAACCATGCCCCATCCTACCAAGCAAAGCCCACTGAGGGATTAACTTATTTTTTATAAGCGACCTGACCACAAACGATAGCTCAACAAAATGGCCCATCATTGGATATTTATAGTACCAAAATAATCGAAATAATCTCAATGCATGTTTCTAAATGTGGAGGATCTGGAGAAAAAAATCCACATGACCACGGGGAGAACATGCAAATTCCAAATATACAGGCGTCGGGGTCGGGATCGAACCTCCGACCTCCTGCATATCAGGCAAGGAAGATAACATATCACTACTGTTGTGCTAATTTTATAAATAAAATACAGTATATAAGTAAAAATGGAATAATCAATTCCCAATCTTATTTTGCACTGTACGTAGCCAACCATGCTAATTGGAGGTTTGGGGGAAGGACAACAAACTAAACACAAATAGCGGTTCTAAAAAAATTAGTTCTCAATCAATTATCAATGGGCATCAAATAATTTCCTTGCATACATCGAAGGTGAGAACGAGAACAGAGTGCATGGTAGATAAAAGGAGATCATATCGTTACACATTCTCTCTCCCGCGCTTAAAGTTTTGTTTAACATTGACCGTGTTGTACCCCCATTCGTTTTTTTCTAGCTTCCCCTTGAAACAAGGTCATGCCAGAGGGGTGCTAGCCCAGTTCACCCGATCCCACATTCTGCCCACCTCCTGGGCTTGCTTCTCGATCCATGCCACACAATTTACAAACCCAGAAAGCAAGGGCGACGAACCTTTGGTGGGCACCCACACATGAACACACACAGCTCACTCACTTCTGTCACTGGAAGAGGCTCTTGCAGTGACAGAAGGTATTGAGTGCGCCAATATTGGAAACACATTGTTACCATATCAGAAATATTCCCCTCTAGTGTCCGATTAGTGCAGTGAAGTCGCTTGATAAAATACCATTTGAGGGGGCTGCTTCAAAATGGCAAGGCCTCACGCGGCCGTGGGCCACATCAAACGAGGTCATGGGCGGTGCTCAGAGGTCGCAAACGGGTTTTGATTCCTTACCCGTACCCGTACCCGGCCGCACCAGGGTCGCAAACGGCTACCCGTACCCGGTCGGGTACGGGTAGCCGGGTATCGGGTAGGGTACGGGTATCGGGTACCCGGTTGCGACTTCTGGCCGTGCTTGGCTTGAGTCTCTCACCTCCAGAGTGTTGGTCCACTTTTGAGTTATCTCTTTCGAGCGAGCGAGCATGGCTGCCCTCTCTTCCCGGGCAGCGCGTTCCATCTCCTCCTGGATCTCGCGTCTCTTCAGGCTGCCCTCGATGCGCTCCCACTCTGCCCGGGGCAGCACGATCACCTGGTTGAGGTCGTGACCGAGGGTCGGCAGGCTGCGACCCGGAGGCGGGAGAGACAGGGAGCCGTGGTCCGGTGCTCCTGCACACCGCAAGGTGGAGGTGGGTGGGGGGTAAGGGCACAAGGGTAACAGAGAGTTGCGATTAGAGGGGCACACGCAGTGGTGTAGCGATCGAGTGTGCAGGTGGTGTGAACCCAGGCTGACGGGCCGGACTTGCACCAGGGCCATGCCAACCTCCGATTAGCACGGTTGGCTACGTATGGTGCGAAAAAAGGGTGGATGTCGTTGTGGACAGCTCCTATCTAGTCAGCAGATATGGTGTTCATGACCTGATGTGGTTCAGGTTGACAATCATAGCACTAACCCAAGTGGTGTTATCATAAACCTATTATCTTGACAATGTCACGAATTATATCACACACGGTTATGCTCATTCTCGTCTGCCGCCCCCATAGTCTGGAACTCACTTCCCACAACCATCCGTGCTATCGAGATTTACGTTTTTGCTCTGCCTATGACTGACTTGCCTTTCTCTATACAATAAATACCGTACAGTATCTCTGTTTATGTGGAGCATCTTAAGATGTGGTCGCATTTAGTCTACTTAGAGGCTATATAACTCCTCACAGCATTGCAATCTCACCGAAATTTAATACCACATCTCAACCACGAACACTCAGTTTCTGATGATACGATGTGAAACAGCGTGCAAGCCGATTGCTTTAAGCTACTGCTGAATGATGAGCTCTCCCCTATGCTCTCTCGCTCGTCAGTCTTGTTTGACCATACTTCACCACGCTGGGTCAAGTCGTGTTGATGAAGGTTGGTGTAAATTGTGGGTACGTCCACCTCTTTTCCAAGACGTCTCATGTCAAGAGTGGAATAGTTGAGCCAAATGCCCTCCGTAGTAAAGCCCCCTTCTGTCAGCTGGTGTGGCAAGTGAGCGAGACAACATTTCGCAATGCTGCGCCTTCAAGTTCAATTATTAGGTATAGCCCTGTGAGCCATTCGGCTCTTGAATCGGGTGCAACCGCAACAAACAAAAAACATGAACAAGAAAACATCTTAAAGTGAATATGTGACTAAGTGCAAACAGAAAATCCAAGAAAAGACAGCAAAATATTGCAGAAAAAACACCGCACACCAACGCTGTGTGCAAAAATCCCAGTGGGATGCAAATCAAACAACAACAAACAACCACAAGACAACTTAGATTATTAAGGCCATCAGTCTTACTCCGTACTACAACAAACAAACCTGGCCAAACCAGTAAACTTTTCGAAATCACCAAAATAAAGCAATGAAACAGTCATCATAGGAACTGACGGAGTTTTCACAATAAACGACAAACAACATGTACTACCAAAACCCTGCAACTCAATGCACCGACGCGATTTGTAACATTCGAGTCGAGTTGGAAACTATTTTTAAATCCTTTATATTGTAGTATTCTTGAATGAGACCGACACTTCGTAGAGGCCACACGCTTTTATTCCGATAACACTAGTCCTCAGGACTCACTGGGGAGACAGTCCCACACACACAACCTAGGGAGGTACAGCCTCCGGCTCTATTCTCATTTCTCTCCTTCCCTAGCCTCCAGCTACTCTGTTACTCTCTTCCCTAGCCTACAGCTACTCAGCTACTCTCGTCCCTAGCCTACAGCTACTCAGCCCACTCAGTTCCAGCGGGGCGGCATCCTTGAGGCTTGGGGGTCCAGGATCTCCGGCTCTCCTCCTTCAGCTTCTCCTCCGATCGACCCCTCCGCTCTCCAGGAGCCGTCTTATATATCCCCTCTCTCTGAGGGGCGGGGGTGTCTCGGGCCCTGGCTCTCGCCAGCCCCCTCCCCTCAGAGCCGTTCCAACCACCTCTCGTCCCTGTCAATCCGGGCCGGTCCAGACCGGTACGTACCTCTCCCCTAGCTTGTGTGACCTGTGTGACCTGTGTCAACCTTGGTGTCAACCTTGACCACCACAATATTAAGTTCGCTTGCTTGCTTAGGACCGTGCAAATCTTTCGATCGTGTTTTAACCTACTTCCCGTGATCAATCGAGCTGACATTTTGCACACAGACTCGTTGTGCGTGACAATGCATTTTCGTGAAAAAAAAAATGTTTTCCAAAATTTTATACTGTTTAGGGAATTTTTTTAAAATATTTAATTACCAATTGTTTAATGCTGCCAGACAATCATCTGACCCATAGGTGGCAGCCATCTCAAGCCAGAGGACGAGATGACTCTAGCCGCCCCGATGCCACGCATATAAAGGATTTATAGTGAAAACTTTTTTTTTACGGGTTAATTTTTTAGTTTTCATGATTATCGCCAATCGAATTCTTTTAAATCGGCCACGACCACTGGTTCACCAGCGTTTAAAGGCGACGATGACGATGGGCGTTTATTTAAGCACGATAATTCTAGACGTCTGTTTAAAACACGACGATGTTGACTATAACGACGCCGGTGGTATCAACATCCTTCCTTACTTACTTGTTGAGACCAGAGCTCCCTTCATTCCTCCTCCACGTGACATCGACATCGATGGCTGCGCCGACGGCTTTAAACTTCAAACGCGAGCCTAATAAATACACGAATTGCCAAGCACCGAGCAGATGTCGTCGGCTTTGTTACAGCAACAACAACAACAACGAGGAGTAGAAACAACAACAACGACAACAACAACGACAACAACGACGAGTGTAAGATCGATGTGGTTGGTGGTGGTTGGTGGTTGTTGTTGATGGGGGAGCGATGTTTGCGCGTGGTCGCTAGGCAACGTTCACCACGGCGACGGCAGAGCGAGAGATCATTGGGGCTGGCCATATATGACGTCACGCACCTGGGGAGGGGGGGGCGGGGTCAGATTTTTGTGACGGGGGGGGGTGAGAAATGTGACGTCACTTCAAAATGCGCAACTTTAAATAAATAGGGAATTATATTCTTGGTTCTTTCGGTAAAGTCACGGAGAAGGGAAATAATAAAGTAATAAAAATAAAAAGCAACATTTTTATTATTATTTTATTATTATTTCCCTTCTACGTGACTTTACCGAAATAACCAATAATATGAATCCCTGCAGTCACGAAAGCTTTAAATAAAAAAAAATATATAATTGTTACAACAACACTAATTGTTATAACAACACTCCAATAACATCAGAGGGCAGCACCACATTAAATATGCACTACAATGACAATAGTTTAAAGCGATTTGAATTATGTTTTATTTTCAAAATGGAAATATGTTTTTTTTGCGGGGGGGGGGGCAGAGCTTTGTGACGTCATATTTGAGGGGGGGGGGCTGACTTTTTGTGACGCCGTGTGACGAGGGGGGGGGGGTCAAAAATCGTCCAAAATCGCGTGACGTCATTTATGGACGGCCCCATAACAACATCCCCTCCCACCCTCATCGCCAGCCGTGGTCTATCCACTGCTGGTGGCGGGAGCGGGAGGGGAGAAGCTGATTCATGGGTCAATCGATTGTTGGGTAACGCAAGAGCCATGCTCAAACCACCGCTGCATGAATCGATATCCATCATCAATGATTGTTGGGTAAAGCAGAGCCCTGCAATGGTCAATCCACTGCTTTATGAATCAATTATTTGAGCATAAGACATGTTTGTGATGGAGCCGGAGTTGATACAAAAAAGTAGTACCACTTTGTGCAACTTTAGCATTGGGTTTCATATGGACAGACTGGACCTTGCCATGAGAATGTGGACATTCCAACACCGGCTCACGGCCGCCAAATGTGATGAGCCACGCTCCACTGCTTGTTTCAGCAGGGGAGGTTTAGAAATTAGCTTTGAATGTTATTTAAAGTATCGGTGTGATGGCCAATGCCATTTGTTTCATTGCAAAGTGCATTAACACTTCTGTAGTGATTAGAGCTACCTTTTGTCCAATACTGAATCTCATTTTGAATAACCATCTGATAATCCCTAATTGTTCGTAAATGTAAGTTAATGCCAAATATAAAAGAAACAACTCTGGACTTAAGTAATAAAAAATATAAAAACCCTTCAAACTGGTAACACGTGGAGACGAACACGTTTTGGTGACGTCACTTTCTTAGCCTGCTCCATGTTGCTTGAAGGGGTGGGGGGGAGATTTCTTATTTCATAAATGGATGCAACCATTACCCACTATTACTCTCGCTATACGATTTAATTCTCAAATTAATACTGTACAGTCATATATTGCACATTGTTAATTCCGCAGTAATGATCTCGATGACGATGATAACTCGTATTAATGACTGTCAATACTTAACCGCATTGCCAGTGCTGGACTAGTGGTGCTGGGTATGCGTGCTGTATGATCAGTATGTACAGTACGAGAAAGGCAATTGATTTAAATGATCGATTCTCAGGATCACGGCGAACGCAACGAGTATCTGTGTTACTCGATTCGTGTTGCTGCAAGTGCATTGCCGTATTCTGCAGAGAAAAATACCCTACGGAAAGTATCAGAATCTGAAAATGAAAATTGGAGGAATCCGATGAGCGTTAAAGCTCTTTTTCACAGATGTCCAAAACTTAAAATAGGGCACTCCAGTGTACCGCAACATTGACTATTATGGCCGTAAAACATATAACTTTAATTCCTTTTGAAACGTTGCACATTATTTAATTCACACGCAGAAGTAACCATGCCCCTAAAGTCCTATGTAATTCACCCAATTCCTGCACTACTACGTACAACTACGAGCTGTCATGTTGCACGAGTTAGTGCGTTGTCTTGACTCGGCTTCTTCCAATTGTAAAATGTGGAATTTCCACTCACAAATGGAGAGATGAGCTCGCTTGAAGGGGTGGGTGGGGGGGAGACTCTCTCTGACCTTTGACACTGACAATGTAAATCGTCTTTGTGCCATTGTCCCCCAATGCCCTCTCTCCGCCTGCCGAATTAACTCATGGACAGGACTCGTAGCGTACGTTAGCCACTGTCTACTTGTTGTTAATTAGCATGGCTATTGTTGAATTCGTAAATGCCAAGGGACGCGACAAACGTACGATCTAATGGATAATAAATTCCGTCTAAAAATGAGAATGCTGCGAAAGGAATGTGGGTAGAGGAAGCTGAATATTGTACCGTCTCATTAATGTTCTCTCAAAGACGTCGGCGATCATTGCCTTCTATTTCACTCTGCCCATGATGTTACTCAACTGATGATGTTGTGCATTAGATACTCCCAGTTGCAATTAAATTGTTAAAATTGCCCGATGTACTGAATTCGCCATCTTCCCTGGCGTCTTGCATCTGTAATCTCCCAGTCCAAACTTTATATTCAGTCTCTTGTCAATAAATGTACAAGATATGCAACTTGTCTTTCTCTAATTCTTCTTCTTCTTAATGTGTACCTGCTGCAATTGGTCATTACTGTTACTCATCTTGCCTGCCCATGAAATGTTTGACATCCTTAAAACACATTTCTGTTGTTTGTAATTTCCTTTGTAGGGCCTTTATAATTGTCCAGCTTTCACATTCGTATACGAGATCAGACCTGCATATGTAAGTCTTGTTCTCATCCATAATACATTTTATAATATAGCTCCCATCTGAAACATATATCTTTGCCAGTGCTATTCTGTTTATCTCGGTCAAATGGATAATTACGAATTCACATCTTCTCTCAATAGGATATGATGATTTGCACGCAACGTACATAGTACTGGATACAAATACTGTGCAATGATAAACTTTAAGACCCACCGAGCTCTATTATGTAGCTCCTTTTCAGAAGCGACTCGGCCACAAATCGGCTTCAAATCGTGTGCCAATGGACATGAGCCAAATACTCCAAACCACAGGGCTCTACAAATATAGTACCGTACCTAAACGATCACCCTCTCGAATCACACACACACACATAATTCTGCACATTGATGCATCATTATGTGTGGCTCTGGCTAAGATGATTGGCACACACCAAGAGGCGTGGCGTGAGCTGGGACCTCTCTCCGCTCCTCCTCCTCCCCTGCCCCCCCACCACGTCCGTTGCACAAAAGCCGGCTCCGCAAGAACGCGTCCCATCTTGCTCCGCTTGCTCGCTCTGCCATCTGCAACGCTCTCTCTCTCCACCTCTCTCCCAAACGATCCCTCGTCTGTCCATCTATCTATCGATCGATCTCTTTTTTTGTCTCTCGCTCACCTAATCTCGCTGTGCCATTGCCGCGTCCGACTGACTTGCACCCTTGCGCGCGTCCGCGTGTTTGCGATTTCATATCACGTACACTACGCAGTTGTGTGCGTGCGTGCGTGACGCACCTTCATCTTTCTAAGTAACCGACGCCTGCTCGCAGATCTCCGGTAACTAGCGAGCACACGTGTGCGTGTATTGGATGGTAGTGATCCGGTTTTTTTTTTATTCCAGATTTGTGTTGTTCGTGGAAGATTGCTGTGTGCTTACGCGTTATGTGCGTGTCCGTCGCTGGCTGCGCGTGTGCGTCCGTGCGTGCCTATGTTGTGCATGTCTCTGCACGTGGAAGTGCCTGTGTGTGTGTGTTGGTGTCTTTGTATGTGTGTGTTGGTGTCTTTGTATGTGTGCGTCGTGTGTGTCCTTTGCATGTCTGCGTGTCTTCAGGCGTGAGCGAGTCTCGTGCATATGTAAGTCTCCGTCCGTGAAGAGTTGTGTGTGTGTGTGCATGTGTGTATCTCTTAACAGTGGGGAGCGGTGGTGTAGCGGTTAGCGCGCTGCGCTACGAACCCGGCGACACTGGGGAGACAAAGGCGGTCGGGCGTGGTGCTGGCCCACCCACCCCCTCGTGTACCGTTCTGGCCTTGATAGGTGCTCGCAAACAGCACTTGCCCCTACAGTCTGTTAAGGCTATACAGGGGATCTTTATCTCTTAACAGACGCGTGTGTGTGTTAGCTATGCATGTTGTAGCATTGTCCTCTGTGCATGTCTGTGAGTGTAACACCACCACCACCACCCTGCCCACCCTGCCCACCCAGCCCATGGCTCTCGCCGTGCGCTCGGTGCTCATCAGCGAGCCCGTGGACCCGAGCTGTGCGCGCATCCTGCGGGGTGGCGGCCTCCACGTGGACGAGCGGCTCGGCATGAGCCCCGCAGAGCTCGTGCAGTGCATCAAGGTGAGTTCAGTCCGGCATCACCACCACCACCATCATCATCACCACGGCTGCCTGTGGTTTCTCGTAATCTGCTCCACCCGGATTCCTTGCCACGTAACTCATCTCGACAGCTCGGCTCGTTTCTCACTGCCTCGATTTCTTGGTCAAAACGGGGGCTTCTCTGTATCGACATCTGCAATGTTTGTTGCACTTCAAATCTGTCGACGTTTGCCCGACTGACTGACTGCCCCCTATCCGGACACACGGGGGCCTCTCGTCCCGAGCCAGCAATTGTTCCATTGCCCCGGTTGCGTGCACAACTTCTCTCGGCTAACCTCGACTCTTTCTCTCTCTCTCTCTGTCTTTCTTTCGTAAGGTTACGATGTCTGTAACTTGCAACGCAGTTTAACGATCAAATGTGTCTACACAATTTGCGGAGAGCCACGTTTGGTCGGCAGAGGGCATTGTTGTTGACCGCAACGGTGGCTCTTTTAAACAACATCCATTTGTACTCTTAGGTTTTTTCGGTAAAGTCACGTAGGTAAAATAAAGAAATAAAAAATCTAAAAAAATAATGAAAAGACTATACCTATATAAATAAATAAATTTAACGGATAAAATAACAAATTAAACAAATCTAGAAACATCCATTTGCTGCATGTCGAACACGCTTCTCAAGACACGCACGGCG